TTGCTGCTGCGCCACGCCTGCGCCGCGCCAATACACAGTCAGGCCCCAGGCCAGGCGGTGCACATGGCGCGGCGTGCTAGTTGGTGGCTTCGCTGGTGGCTTCGCTGCGGCCAGGCTGGCCAGCATAACGCCCTCGTTGGCTGTCGGGCCGCGGCAGTGTCACGGACAGCGTGCACGCCGCGCGCAAGTCAAACTCGATTACAACGCCACATCGTTTTTTTGCTTCGTCTGTTGCAGCCGACAGGAGCAGGACAGGACGACAATGATGGGGAGTAGCAGCTCGCCGTCACGCCGTGGCTGCCGCGGCTGCCGTGGCCAGGTCTGAGGCACACCGATCGGGTGAGTTCCAGGAGGGGGAGGGGGTTGTGCTGGCGGGCTACTGTATCCACCACTGAATACAGTGCCATCCGGGCGCGGTGAGCCACCGTAAGTTGGAAGTCGATGCCTTTCTGCAAACGGTCGTCGCTCCGACGCAGAAAGCGCGGGGGAAATGATGAGGAAACGCAACACGGCGAGGCGGCGCGCTGGGCGTCGCTAACGCGGCCACGCTCTTTGACCAGGGCGGCCTTGTTCGCCTTCGCGCCGCTCGCCCCGTTCGCCCGCCCTGCTGGCACGGCTGCCCGGGGGATAACGGAAGACTGAAAACACTGCAGGGGCCTATTTATCATTTCCACTGGGATGACCGCCGCCAGCCATTGTCTCTCTGTTACTTCCGGTGGAAAAACCTGTCACATTTTCACTTTTTTTTCTCTCAACAGCAACGGAGCGGCGCGACGTGTCCCTGTTGTAGATTTTTTTTTTTTGCAATGAAACAATTTAGCTTTTTTTTAGAGAAAAGAGCGATGCTCCATCCTGTGGGCGCGTCGGCCTTTGTTTGCGGGGGCCACACAATGCTGATTAGTCGAGTGATACAACCCGTTCCCCCTCCCCTCGCCTTTCATACGCACTTTTTGATGGATTGAAAATGATTTTTCCACCTCCTCCCCGTGGCGGGGAGGGAGGGGCCTTGCCAGCAGCGCGGAGACTGCGAGCGGAAAGGACCGAGATTGAATCCGCCTTTTGGCTTTATCACTGGGGCTGCCCCGCGCCGTGCCCCGCCGGCCTCGGCCGTCTTCAAGTTGAGCGAAAAAGAGCGAGGGAGACGGAGAGACAGAGGGACGGGAGATGAGCAGCGGCAAGCTTCTTTATCCGCGGCCAATGCAATAGAACGCCGGCACAATATTGCGGCATCAGCGTTGTGTGCCGCAGGGCCGCCGGGCCGCAGGGCCGCAGGGGGACGCGTTCACGGTGTCCCAGTCCCAGGCAATAGCACGGTGGGCAGGCAACCCGGGGCGCGGCCCGCCGTCCGACTGCAGGCGCTCCGGGACGACGAGAAGGACGCCGAGGCCGAGGTGGAGGAGGGAGCGCTGCACAGTGGGTCAGAAGATCGGCGGCAGCGGCCAAAACTCTAGACGCGTTTTGAGCTCCAGCGTCGTTAAATGGGACTCGAACCGAACGTGTGACCCCACCTATGGATTGCTCTCCGAACAAGGAATCCATTGGTGGGGTCACAACGACTCTACAGATCAAAACGCACCTAGAATTTTGTCCGCCTCCACCGGTCTCTGGCCCACTGTGCGCTGCCCGGTCGGCTGGCTCAATAAGTGGATGAGGGCGGCGACTGGCGAGACTCGCAAAGCAAACAGTCGCCGTCTGAGCCTTGAGTGGCCCCGGCCGGCCCCGGCAATCCGACAGCCGCGACACGCCAGTTTGAATTAATTAGCGCAGCGCGGAGTAATTATTTGACGATGATTCTAATTGCATGGCAATCTGCTCGGTGGAGGGGGAAGGAGGCTGCGGCTTCCTTATCGCCCGGCGCCGAGGCCTGCTTCATGTCCGACAACTTGGATCGGAGCGCGAAGCCGCGCGGCACAGTGTACAGTGCAGTACAGTACAGTGCAGGGCGGCGCGGCCGCAATGGGGACGAACTGGACCAACACTAGCGCGCGGCACACACGCACACACCCACTCAAAGCAACAACAACAGTAAACCCCCACCCCTTCGCATCTTACCATTTATGAATAGTGCAGTGCTCCGGTGCAAGTCAAGAACCTCGTCGTCACTCTGCGGGGAACGTCAGGGAATCCCTGCAGTTGTTTACGTCTTTTGGATCCGCCTGCCACGTCTAGTAGCGGGCCTGCAGCAGCAGCGCTGCACCCCCTGTGGAGTGCAAGAGCCTTTTTTCCCGCGCGCTATAACCCCGAACCACTGTCTGGCTCCTCGGCTTCGCTCTGTAATGGCCCAGCCAGCCTCGCCGCGCGGTGCGGTGCCGTGCCAAGGTAATTGCACTCCAAGGTGCTTCCGCCTGGAATTACACGTGTACGTCTTGGCGGGGCGGGGCGGGGCGGGGTGCAGACGACACACCCCCGGCAATAGCAGCAATGGCCCGGTGCAGACGGGCGGTCCCCTCCTGGCTCCTCCTCGTCGTCGCCGTGCTCCAGGACGCCTCCGCTGCGCAGTCGCGCCGCCACGCCGCCATCATCTAACGAACCGAGCCTTGTTCTCTGCCCGCTCTTGTTGTTCTTGCCGTCCTTGTTGTTATCGGGCGGCACTCGTCGCCCCACGTTATGGCCAATCAGCTTGACGACGCCGTAGTTGGAGTGGTGCGGCACGCCGCGGCACGCTCGGCACACGTCGGACCCGGCGACCCCCGCGCCACAGTCGACAGACGGCCTGCTCGGCCGGGCTGCCTACCCCCGGGGGGCTCCAGCCACCCTGCTGGCGACTGTCAGCGAGCCTGTCGTGTCAACCGTGGGCCCTCGAGCCTGAGGCTCCACCGGGCCTCTTGGTGGCGATCATTAGGTTAGGTTAGTTAGGTTAGGTTGGATTAGGTTAGGTAAGGTTAGGTTAGGTTTCTTAGTTTGGATTAGGGTAGGTGAGGGTGGTTCATTTACCTTCGTCTCTCTTTGTCAAGTAACAAAAGCAAAGAGAACGGTGGATTTTGAACCAAACGGCTTTTTGAGTCGATCAACGCTTCGTTTTGCCGCTCATGTGTTTTGGACGCGGCGGAACGCGGAGATACTGTCGCTGCATTCCGAGGGGGAAATCACTCTTAAAAACTGTGACCCGACTACTCCCTATTACGTTCTATTACGCTATTACAGAAGGCTTATTACGCTCGAAAATATCCAGATTTGGGCTAAAATCAGACTCAAAATAGGGAAAATTTTAAAAAATTTGGCTGTTACGCTATTACTATTACGCGTAATACTAGGAATCGGTGACCCGACTATTACGCGAGTGATTTCCCCCTCGCTGCATTCCATCCCGCTTCAGCGGACAGCGCTTCCCCGAACTGGATTCCTCACCGCGACCAGGGCGGCCGGGAAGCAGGTTAAGCACGCGGAGGGACCGACGAGGCGAGGCGCGCGCCACTGCACCACGCCCTTTGGACTCCCGGACTCCGGACGCGTTGCCCGCCAGCCGGAGAGCCGGAGAGCCCTTCCCGCCCTTCCACAGCATTTCCATAATAGCGCCATGAAATGCAGCGGGCGGTTTGTCGCCGCGGTGAAGGAGGAGCAGGGCCGCGCCTGGCCGGGACGCTGCTGCTGCGACAGGGGCACAAGCGCGACGGGGAATTCCCCGAATTCCAGGTTCTCGACGCGAGGCTAGACTGTGGATGATTCGAGTCCAACTCGGAGAGGGCCCCAGGGCGTGTGCAGCGAGGTGTCCGCGCGGCTGTGCTGTGCGGCGACGTGGAGACACCGCGAGGGAAGTCACCTGCACCACTCCGACCAATCACTGTTTTCCCGCCGCTCGGCCTTTCGAGCAGCGGAAAAGTGGTGAGATGGAAGGGAGGGGAGGGGGAGGCGGGGCCGCTCTCCGAAACATGACAGTGCCCGGGGTGGCCAGGGAGGCTCCCGGGAGGGGAGGGGGAAGGGCGGCAGAGGACGCAGTCAATGTTGGGCCGCATATTGTACCGGATGAAATTCCATCTCCTGCACGCGGCGCGAGGCGCGAGGCGCGAGGGCGAGGGGGAGGGGGATAGTGGCTGAAGGCGACACGCGCGTACCGCTGTATGCGCGCGTCGAGCGTGAGCGCAATGCGTGAGCGTGCTCTGTAAAGTTGTAAACGCCATACGCGGCGAAGAAGCGCGAGCTCCCGTCCCGTCCGCCCCACGCCTGGCCGCACCGCTGGAGCGGCTGGAGCGGCTGGAGCTGGAACGCCGGGCTGTCATGTGTGCGGCGGGCCCAGCTTCCGGTTTCGACCGCCACGGCCGCTCGCTTGCGCCGAAACTTCACCAACTTTTTCTCCACCTCCCTCTCTTTCTCTTTCTTCTTCTCCCTTTCTCCCCTCCCTCTCTCTCGGCGGTACGGTTATTCACGTCATGGTAATAATATTTGCCAAAGTTTGAAGGATTCTTTGCGTGTTTTCCGCGCTCGTTTTTGTCCCGTCGAGCTGCGCGCTACAGCCGCGCTCCAGCTTTGGCCCATCAACACGGGCGCTGACTGGCTGGCTGGCTGGCTGCCTGGCCCGGACTCGTCGCAGATATCGTAATTCAATTGTTGGTCGGGTGGAGCAAGGCGGGCGCGGCGCGCGGCTCGGATGCCGTTGCCTCTTCTTCGCGAAAACGAGAGGCAAAACCCCCCACGCGCCCCGCGCCGAGCCCCGCGCCGAGCCCCGCGCCTTCCTGCAGGGACGCCGCCTGCATTCCCGCCAGATAAAAAGGCCCCGGGGGAGTGAGAGCCGAAATCCCGGCCCGCCGTCTTTCTCCAGGAAGTGGGCGCTGTAGTCCGGGAGTCTCCGCGCCTCGCCACGCGGAAAGCTTATTGGCTAATTGCCGTGGCGCCAAGTTTGGCGAGCAGCTTCCCGCTGCAGGACACGGAGTGACTCGGCCGACTCGCCGCGGGCTGTTCCAGGCTCCGGCGGTTCCAGTGGCTCCAGGATGCGCCCCGAGGCCACGGCGCCGCAGCTGCCGCACCTGCCCCGCCTGCTGCAGCTGGCCGTGCTGGCCGTGTGGCTGCTGTCCAGCCGGTCGCTGCTGCCCGCCGCGCACCATGCAAATTCAAGTGAGTTGCTGCAGCACGCCGCTCGCCGCCGGCCGGGAAACTCCTGGAGATTCCTCGCCCGCCGCACCAACACTTCTTTGTTTTTGTTCCAGCGGCCGCCGGCAGGGGGGCGTTCGGCTCCACCATGACGACCGGCAACAAATTCCTCAACTACTCCGGGGACCTCATGCTGGGGGCGCTCGTGCCCGTCCACCGCAAGGGGCAGCTGGGGACGGACTGCGGGGTCATCCAGGTGAGGAGGGGGTGGGGTTGGTATGCGTGCGGGATACCACGTACACCACGATCATCGAAAACCCTCACAGCGCGGTCCGGAACGCGGGGTCGCTCGGTACACTGCAGTGCCGGCCAGCTCTACTTGAACGTGAACGAGATCCACTTACAGTGAGGTAGACGCGGCCTGCTTTGCATGTTCGCGGCCCTCACTCCCCGTGGGTCGCCACGGCCCCTCCAGTTCCCCCTGCCCTGCCTCCTCGGAGGACACTTGGCCTGGCAGCCAATCTGGGCGTTTCCCTGACACATGGCGTGGCGGCACGGCCATGGCCGCGAGGCTGCCAGGAAGTAGACGTGCGGGGGCGGCACTGCATCCAGGCACGACGAGAAGCCGACGAGGACGACGAGGACGACGAGACGGATGTGACAGTGACAGGGGTGACGATGAATTCCCCGGATCCCCGCCGAGGGCTGTCCGGGGCTCCGCGAGGCCGGCGCCGCGTCCAGCACTGTAAAGAATGTTTGGACGAGAAGCCACGACGCTACACACACCATTCCCGAGTGTTTAGATGCGGCCAGCAAAAGGCCGTTAAAAGAGGAAACTTGGCGAAATTAATCTTCTGGCTAGCGCACTTCGCCTGCGGCGGGATGCTGTCTGCATTTCCATCACTCAATTGAGGTTTAGATGGAAGGCCTAAACAAACGCTGATTGTTTTTTCCTTTCTCGAGCAAGGGCGTCTCTTATTCGCTCGCCCGGCACGCTCTGAGGCGCCCTGAGGCTGGGGCCACGTGTGATGTGATGTCTTCAGTCCTTTCGCAAGACCCTTTCCCGAGCCCCACGGGGCCGCAGGGCAGGGCGTGGGGCAGGGCGTCGGGTAGGATCGGGCCGATCGCACTTTCCCTCCGTCGCCATAACTCGCGATGACTGCAGGCCGGGCCGGCCGGGCCAAACGGGGTCAATACGTGAGTAATGCGAGGGTTTGTCCACCCGGCCGGCCAGCCCCGCCAGCCCCGCCAGCCGGGGCGCCGTCCGGGACACGGCAAACCAGGCAAACGCGGCGGCCACGGCGTGGGGCCGCTCTTAAATCATTCGGCAAGCCGCGCGGTGGAGGGCGAGGGGGAGCGGTGGGATAAAAATGGAATCAAGTGTTGCTGGTTGCGCGGGCGGGGTGGTGGGGCGGGCGGGCAGCGGTGGCCGTCGTGTAGCCGCGCAGCCCGGCGCTCATTGACCCTCCAATGGTCTGGCCGCCCCGCCTGCCGGCCTGCCGGCCTGTCCATCAGCAGCACGGCCCTCTTTACAACCTCCAATCAACACGCGCCGGGCAGGCTGCGGGGCAGGCAGACCTCCCCTACTCGCAGGCTTCAATTCACAACCAATCAATCCGCCCTTATTCGGCGAGGCCGCGGCCCTGGTGCTGCAGTCCCACTCGCTGCGCGGTCGCGCGGCCAGGTCCATTCGAACTTGGAACAGGCGGTGAAGTCATTAAAAGCCCTGGCGGCTCGCTGGCGGCCCCGGCCGAGCCCCGGCAAGGGAGGCCCGCCGTGCGACCACCGTGCCGGGCGCGTCCCACCGGAGGGGTGAATCACTTATCGTTAGTGTAATGTGCACACCTCGGATCCAATAAAGTGGACTAACAACTTTTGAAAGAACTAAACTAACCGTATTTCAGCAAGATTTAGCTTTTTTTTTGTGGAGACCACTGAAAAATAAACACAACAACGGCTTGAAATTTTTGAATATCGTATGCGGTATTCATCTGTACTCGAGTACGCACTCCTAAACGCAGAGTGATGCAGCCCTCGGGTCCCAGGGTCCCGCGGGTTGCAGGCGGTGTTGGCAAACTGCGCGGAAAAACTCCAGTATAAAGCACCCGCCATCACCCCCTGGAAGTTAGGCTACAATTCAGGCACCTGTGCGCTACTTGGGCGCGTGGCGCGCACCAAAGTTGCTTCCCCTCTCTCTCCTCCTCCCTCTCCTTACCCCCGTCGGCCTGTTGGTGTGGAAAGGGGGGGGGGAAGGAAAGATGAAGGCAACCCGCGGGGCAGGGGAAGGGGCGGTAAACATCCTAAATGCACTGCTCAACGTCCGACTCGCGAGCGTAGCGTATGCTGGCCACTGTTGTTGCGCGAGAGAGCGAGTGTGTACTCTGCGCTGAGTTTCATTGTGCTCATGCCGATTCGAATCGAGCGAGACAGAGACAGCGATATCCACAACGGCTGCACTAGTTCTTGCCAAGCTGCGGCGCTGCGGCCCGGAAGACTCCACGACCTGCTCCGCAGCTCTCGGCCACGACCTCGTCGCCATCTCGGTCGCCATCCTCTGCAGGTCTCGGGTCGGGGAGGGGGAGATTCTCTCGTGAGTTGCCGAGGGAGGAATCAGATATGGAAATGAGTGTCATAAGGCGAGTTAGGTTAGGGCCCGCTTTGGGGGTTCACACATGCATGTATGCGGAGCACCCCCCACCCCCACCCCTTCCCCCAGACCGTTGTCAGCGCGCCAGCCACTACTTTGTAGCGCCCCATTTCCGCGAACACTCCACGCCCTTCCGCCGCGCAGGCGGACAGACGGACGGACGGACGGACGGACAGCGAGGCAGCTGCACCCCGACGGACAGACAGACAGACAGACAGACTGCTTCCGGTTCGGCTGCGATGCCGGAAATAAGGCGGCAGCGGGGCGTGCCGCAACCTCAGCCGCAGTTCGGTTCGCTCAGATGAAATGATGAATTGACTTTAATGGCGATAGCTGCGTCGGCGAGGACGTGGGGAGCGAGGATGACGCTTGGTGCGCTTGGTGCCGCAGCTCCAGGACGGCGTGCAGACGCTGGAGGCCATGCTGTACACCGTGGGGATGGTCAACAGGGACCCCCACCTCCTGCCGGGCATCAAGCTGGGCCTGCTGGCGTACGACTCGTGCAACAACCCGACCCACGCGCTGGAGCAGTCGCTGGACTTCGTCAAAGGTGCGGCCGCACTGCGGCGCCAGCAGGGCCGAGGCCACCGAGGCCACCGACAGGGTGGAAATGGAATGGAACTTGTGTGGTTTGCCTCCTGCCTTGCTTCCATCTTATTCGGTTCGACTTGGCCGAGGCGGCCACATGCCACTGCCAAAACTCATTCACCGCTCACTGTGCCGGACAGGCTTCATCTCGCACCTCAACGTGTTCCACGAGGACCCCGACTTCACGTGCCCGTCGGGCAGCCCCGCCGTGTTCAGGGGCGGCGCGGACCAGGTGGTGGCCATCATCGGGGGGCTGTCCAGTGCCGTCACCATCCAGGTAACTCTGCGCATTCAAACGGCGTCAACTCGCTTTTGTTGTGGTGCCTCTCTCTAACGGAAATGTCTGTCCCCGCAGCTGGCCACGCTGATGCACATGTTCAAGGTGCCCCAGGTGTCCTACATGTCCACGTCGCCGGCCCTGTCGGACCGCATGACGTACCCGTACTTCTTCCGCACCGTGCCCAGCGACCTCCACCAGGCGCACGCCATGCTGGGGCTGCTCAGGTCGGTGCGCGTGGAGTCCTGAGGTCCTCGTCGGTGGCGCACTACTTGGCCTCGAGTGCCGCCAATCCGATTGGCAGGCAGCACCCCTGCCTACTTTCCGCGCCTCGGCCGCCAGTGTAGGGACGCCCCGCCCCCTTTCCATGCAAAGCCAGGTGGCGGAGCGACGTAACTTATTCACCGAGCTGCTACTATCGGCTTGACTGCCATCCTCCGTCGTCGACATCCTCAGGGAGTAGTGCCAGTGGCGGATCCAGAGTCTGCCCGATGGAGGGGCAAAGTAGCGCTTCGGCCAACTTGCGGGGGCCAAGGGCTGTTTTCGCCTACCGTCAGGCGGCTATCTAGAGGACGAGGGGTCAATAGTGATTTTACCCCTCTTGGATTCGTGCCTGAGAAGTGCCGGACCCCATCGCGACACTCTCCTGTGTTGCTCCATGTCAACTTGTCCAACCCTTTAACAAAATGCGGGCCGGTCTCTTAAGCCCCATTCCGAAGCACCGGACTTCCCCGCGGGAGCAGGCGATGATGAGAATATCGATTCGCCGCGGAGGGAGGCAGAGGGGAGGGGCGGGGGCGGTTTTAATGAAAATGTTGCTCGGGTTTTGCAGCCTTCGCCGAGGGACGATCCTCGCTGTTCTGCAGACTGCAGATAATTACGCCGGCCGGGCGGGAACGCTGGTTAGGTTAGGACGCTACTCATGGTAATTGGGGAAAAGAGGGGGGGGGGAGAGGAGGTGACGAGCAGCGCGCCGACTGATTCAGAAGAGTTGTTTCGTCGCTCTGTCTCTCCTCTTACTTTCATGTTAGATGGAATAAACCTTCGTGCAAGAGCTCGCCCAGGGACAGAAAGTTAATGGGAGCAGGGCGAGTCTACGAGCAGACCATTAAAAAGGGAAAATAGTTCGGGGCATTGTCTTTTTTTTTTTTAGGGAACCTTCCTTTGAACTTTTAAAAGGTCCTCCACACGTTTGCTGCATTTTCATCCCGCGCAAAATTTGTCCTGCGGGGAGAAAAGTGAGCATGGAGTGCCAACGGGACGCCGGCGGCGCGGCAAGTCTCGAGGCTGGCGACGACAGCGACGCCGCCGCCAGAGACCTCAACTGGTTCTCGAGTCGGTTCTCGAGCCGATCGCGCTTCCGCTAATGGCCCTGTCGCCGTGCCCCCTCCTCCCCCTCCCCCTTCTCTCTCTCTTCCTTGCGGGGACGGGGCTGCCGCGCTAATCGCAGGCTTTTTGCCTCGCTTCCCCGCCGCCATGATGAAGATGCGTCTCTCGCAGGCGGCTGGGCTGGACGTACGTGAGCATGGTGTACACGGACACGGAGTACGGCCGCCACGGCTGGGAGCTGCTCAGCAACCTGGCGGCCAACTACTCGGTGTGCATCGCCTCGCCCGCGCACCGCCTCGACAAGGAGTACTTCACGGACGACGAGGCCGCCGGCGTGGTGCTCAACCTCAACGCCACCGAGGCCAAGAGTGAGGAGGAGTAGTGCCCACCCCTTGGTGCGTCTCGCTGCCGTTCACGTTAAACCACAAGATGTTTCTGTTTTTCCCCTCTGGCTCGGCAGTCGTGGTCGTGTTCTCGGAGAGCTTCCACTCGTCCGTCATCACGCTGCTGCGCAAGGCGCGCGACATGCACGTGCTGGAGAAGTTCACGCTCGTCTTCTCCGACTTGTGGCCCGACAAGTTCATCGAGCGTCCGGACGGTAAAGACACGGTTCGTTTTCGTTCTGGCGCGGCGCCGCCACTCAAGTTTCACGGTCCGTTGTCTGCCGATGCCTCCGCAGAGACGTGGCAGCCCAAGCTGCTGGAGGGGTCCATCTGCGTGCACCCGGTGTCACGCACCATCAACGGCTTCGACGAGTACTTCCGCGCGCTCAAGCTGGACCACGAGCGCGTGAACCCCTGGTGGCGAGAGCTGTGGCAGGACTTCTTCGGCTGCCGCGACGAGGACAACCCGAAGGTGAGAGGACCGCGTCATCGCATTCTTTCTGACTTTCTGACTGCTGCTTTCATGTTGCGCAGGGACACTGCAACGACCCCCGCGCCACCGTCGCCAGCCTCAACGACATCCGCGGCTCGCGGGAGGACCTGCAGCAGGCGCGCTACCTGCACTTTGTCCGCGACGCCATCTGGGCCGTGGCGCAGGCGCTGACGGACCTGCACCGCGACCGGTGCCACGGCGAGCCGGGGCTGTGCCCCGCCATGCGCCACATCCAGGGCAGCACCCTCAGGGACTACCTCAAGAGGGTCAAGTTCAATGGTCAGGCTGCGTCAGACCCTCTCGCTCTTGACTGCCCCGACGGCGTTCTGGTAACCGGGCCTCTGCATTTGCTTGTCGCAGACGTCAACAATCAGCCCTTCACCTTCCAGAACGGGCGTGACGGCCCGCCGCGCTACTCCGTGCTCAACTACCACCACGACGACGACGCCGCCGAGCCCGGGAAGTACCTCTGGCACCCCGTCGGCGACTACACGAGTAAGCGTGGTAGAGCAGTACCAGTCCGTTGTCACTCCGTGCCTACCGCAGGCTTCTTGCCTCGAAAATGATTGATTCGCTGTTTGTCGTTTTTTGTGCACGTCAGTGAGCCAGGACGAGTCGGGGCCTGCGCTGCACGTCAACAGCAGCAAGATCCGCAGCCGCGGGGACGCGCCGCTGCAGTCCTCCACCTGCACGCCGGTCTGCGAGGCGGGCCACATCAGGACGCGGGTCGTGAGTATCGCAGTCGCCGTGCCCGCCAGTGTGCCCCCCACCCCCACCCCTACTGACACGTGGCCGTCGTCCTCCCCCAGCGCGACGCGTGCTGCTGGCGCTGCCGGCGGTGCGGCGAGTTCCAGGTGCGCCACAACGACTGGACGTGCGAGGACTGCCTGCCCGGCCACCGCCCCACCGCCAACCACCAGGAGTGCGTCAAGGTGCCCGAGGAGCACATCGGGTACAGCCACCCCTGGGCCATCGCCGCCATGGCCGTGGCCAGCTTCGGCCTGGTGGCCACGGTGCTGGTGTCCATGGTGTTCTGGACGCACCGCGACACGCCCGTCATCAAGGCGGCGGGGCGCGAGCTGTCGGCGCTCCTGCTGGTGGCGGAGCTCGCCTCCTTCCTGGTCACCTTCGTGATGGTGGCGCCGCCCTCCAGCACCACGTGCGGGCTGACCCGCTTCTCGCTGGGCTTCTGCTTCACCATGTCGTACGCCGCCGTGCTCACCAAGACCAACCGCATCGCCAGGATCTTCAACCAGTGCCCCGGCGCCGGTCCTAAGAAAGCCCGGTGCGCCATTTCTGTCGGAACAATTTCACGGAGAGCTACACCTCCACCCCGGCTCTCCTTTCACCCGGGATTCGCAGTATTTGAACCCAGTATCTTGCAGGTACACGTCGCCGGGCTCGCAGCTGGTCATCACGGCGCTGCTCACGTCGGTGGAGGCCCTGATCAACCTGGCGTGGCTGGCGTACGAGCCGGCCGACGTGCGGGACCACTTCCCCAGCAGGGACGTGCGGCAGCGGATCTGCGCCGGGCTGGACGACACCTCCTACCTGGTGGGGCTCGCCTACCCACTAGTACTCATCGGTACGGACAGGACCCTACACTGTATTTGCTCCCCGCCCGCTCCACCACTGAAAAGTCACCCTGTCCCTCGGACTGCAGGACTGTGCGTGGTGTACGCCGTGAAGACGCGCAAGTGTCCCGGAGGCTTCAACGAGACGAGGCACATCGCCTTCACCACGTACACCGTCACCATCATCTGGCTGGCCTTCGTGCCGCTGTACCTGGCCTCCACGTCCACGGCCATCCGCACCGTCACGCTCGCCATGTCCCTGTCGCTGAGGTGAGTCAGACTGCAGACTGCGGGACGGAGCGCCTGTCAGCCCTCGGATAGGCAGCCCGGTCGCGGGCGGACACCGGTGTGCGGCGGGCGGCCTACCTGTTGCTTCGCAGGCGCTACAGCAGGGCTGCCTCCGACACTCCCCTCTGTCTCTCTCGCACTCGCGGGGCGTAACTGGCGGGTGCGAGAGAGACAGAGGCAGAGCACTGCTCGGAAATGAGTCGGGTGGCCCAGCAAGCGGTCCTCTTCAACGCCGCGGTCCGAAAAGTAACGATTTGGACCGAAAGGGGTCGGACTGACGCGACACTGTGTTTCTGCCACAGCGGGCTGGTGCAGCTGAGCTGCCTGTTCTGCCCCAAGGTGTACATCGTGATGCTCAAGCCGGAGAAGAACACGAAGGAGGTCGTGATGATGAGCACGTGCCACCGCACTCATGGCTCGACGGGCACCCTGCCCGCGCACCACCTCACCACCAACCCGCTCAGTAGGTCTTTTCGAGATGTGCCTCGAGTTTCTTTTATTCTTTATAATAAAAACAAGATAATATTTTTTTTGGAACCTAATTTTAGTGAAAGCGCGGCACGAGGCTCGCAGTCCGTGCGCGTCGGAGCTGGGCTCCGACATGTCGCGGGCCATCACGGCCTCCCTGGCCGACCACGACGAGGAGTCGTCGTGTCACGGACACTAGACTAGACACTGGTGCCGCAGACCGCGAGCCGTGTCAAAGACAACGCTCCGTCCTGAGCGAGCGTCAACGCCACCCTAGTCACTACCCCACCCCGCCACTGCAGGATAGACTCAATTTTGTTAAACCAAGTGAGACTGCCGTTGAAGAGGAGTACTAAGTGAGTGTTTCCTGCACCTGCTTCGCAATGTCTGCAGTGAAGGTACGGCACTTAATCCCTAAAAGAAACAACTACTATACTTAGATCAGTAACTTTGTGATCTCAACTGTTATTTCAGAGGTAAGGATAAGCATTTTAATAATATATTGTATGTCTGGACAGAGGAATGCTGGCTTTTGTTGGTGCAAATGTTCTTTTTTTTTTTTTTGAGTTGTGAGTTTTGATAAAAGAGTTGTTATTGCATTTGCCAAAGAAAAATATAGAGCTTTGCTAAAGGATAATAATGTAAACTGCCTGCATTTCCAAAAATTTACTTATTATGCTCCCCTATTGATTGATGTGTATGAATTTTTATTTGCCTAGTCAGTAAAAATAAGAGATTAAGATTGTTTTATTATTATTATTATTTATTGGATGCACAATTGTAAAGTATCACAAAGAGAAAAAGAAAGACAATTAAAACTAATATTTGTACATTGTATTAATAACTAACACCAGGTGAGACGTGTAACATGATCAGTCTTGCGATTTGAAGATTTGATGAATCCAAGGAACTGCAACTCCGCGACAGCACGGGTAAAACGAGCTCTGGGGTGTTAGTTAAGTAATAATCGGTGGTAAATATTGCAAGGTCTCAAAGAGGGGAAAATTTAAAGAAAACTGAGTCATGACAAGAAAGGATACTGTAGCTTAGGATCAACTTCAGTCTGTTCTTCTTCAACACTTGATGGGTCGACAATCGTCAAAAAGGACTAAAACAAGGGACAAAAAACAATAAGATTAATACCATTTTGAGTGCAATTCAAGGCCTCTTTAGAAATTTTGGTTCATGCACAAACCTGTAACCAATCAAACATATTGATCAGTTTCCCACTCTCAAGATGTAATTTGTAGACAATGCTAACATCAGGTAATGTTGGAAGGATGTCACCAAGATCAGACAACTTGCAGCAATCACACTGGATAGAAATAAAATGGTTAGGTACAGTATGTACAGCAAGGGAAATTACCAAGATGAAATATTAAAATAAAATGAGAAGAACTTACATCTAAATAGAAGTGAGGATCCCTCAAGCCTCTCAACATGGCTTGCCTTGGTGACCCCACAATGTGAGATTTGACAGCAGCAATGTTATCAAAGAAAACCAACTCGTGCAAGGGTTTGGTTTGAGGTGATGCCAGGAATGGGGTGAACATCTCCTCCAGTAAAAATGATAGCACTTCTGTCCGCAATTTTTCAAAAGGAGACAGTTTAATGTCATGGGTGGACATCTCTTTCAGTTTCTGCAAAGCAACATGTCTTGTGAGAATGTCACCAAATTCAAAGCCATTTATTAGTCTGTCATGTCCTTACTTCTCTTAATTGAGACCTGCTGTTGACATTCATCAACAACTTGCTGGGGCTCTTCAATGGGCTCCGAACAGCTTTCAATGGACTTCTGCTTGGACTTTGTGAGTTCTTGGTGGGTGTTGTTGGAACTGGTGCCCACAATGTCTTGAATTTTGCCACAAGACCTTCAAGCTTCTCTATGACATCCATCATTTGCGTTGCTCCATTTTTCAAAGATTCATGTAAGATTACCAAAATCTAGAAGAAAGAAGACACAAGAGCTCCAGTTTAGCAGTACGAACAGTAACCTCCTTGCCACCTTCCAAACCCTCTCTCTCCCCCCCTCCCCAACAACTCTCAACATAATAAATTGGATCTCAGCAAGAACTTACCTCAGATAACTTGGATTCAAGTTCATCACTAGACAAAAATGAAAGTAGTGTCATGCATTCTTTCAATTCTGAGCTTTTGACAATATCACAAGTAGATGCTATAATGTATACTGATCGCAGCTGAAAGTAAAAGTAAATCAAACAAGGTCAATGGTTTAGAATTTTAAAAAAATGAAACAATAAAATAGAAATCTAACTCACCTGTTTCTCAAGAGGTGCTCCTGGTAAATCGCAAGTTAATATATTGAGGCATTTTAATGTTGCAAAAAAGGAATGAACATATTTATGAATGTTTGTTAGGAGCTTCACTATTTCCCCCTGGAAATACGATTGTTCACATAAACATACAAAACTCAGAGAGATTGAAGATAACAATGTTCTGAAATGTTACCTTAACAAATGTGTCATCTTTCAACCAAGAAATCTGGTCTGCCTTAGAACACAGAGTCTCAATGTGTTTACGGACAGAAGGCAGCTTCCGAACTGACTCAATATCTTGTTTTGAGAGAAGCTTTACTGCTGACGGCAATTCCTCAGGGGAGCAAGTTAATACTGTCCAATCTTTTCCATGAAAGTGTTGCATCATACAAAACTGGAAATGAGGAGTCAGTTAGCAAATTCCATGGACACCACCATTGTCTTACAAAAATTTATGTATAGTAATTCTACTTCACCTTGTAACCTTGTACAAAACCCATGACTGAGAAATCATGGAAAAGAAAAACGTCTAAGAGTAGCTTGAAAGCTTTCCCCCCCAAATGGAATGGTTGATCAGGCAAAAAGAAAACCTGAAATATGATTTTGTTTTCAAAATTATTATTATTAAAACTATTGTAAAACCTTAATTGGAAGCTGGAACAAAAGTAATCTACCTTCTCTAAAACCTCATTTAAATATGCAAGTGAAGGTCGGGAGTGGAAAACTTTCATTCTGAGGCAAGATGAGACATGATGAGGTAATGATCTGTGGACAGCTGACACAGCAGTGGCTACTCCCAACACAAGTAGGAATGGTACTCGATACTGATAACCCCTAAAAAAGAGGAAACAAATATTTTTTTTAAAAATCTACATGAGTTTTGAAACAACAAAAATATAAATGGAAACAGTCTGCATACTTCAAAAGTAAAATAAACTCTTGTAGAACTTTGGCAGGAAAGCTTTCAAAGTCAGGGATGATTACAACAAGAGACTGTGCTTTGCCCCCAAATTTTTCTGACAGCTTGTTAGTCTTTCTTTTTTTATTGCCCTTGGCAGCAATGGTGGAGTACCAAGATGAGAGATATTGTAAGTTGCAATGCCACCGATTAATTTTACTCTTTGTCTGTTTTTCATCATCTGACTCTTCATTGCTTGAATTATCACAGTCCTGAGAATCATTCTGGGAATCCAGAACATCGAAAATCATTAGAGAAAAATAAAGTAAAGATTAAAATCCAGAAAAGAAACGGACTCCATTCAAACATCTTACAGCGTCATCACTGGTGGGAACAAGCATAAATTGCGAGCACATTCGCTCCACTGTTGCTTTCAAAGAAGAACAATCACGGGCCCAGAGAGTGGCAACATGAGGGGTCGCTTGTTGTTGGATGCTCTTTGAAAGAGTTGCAAACAAAGAGGTGTGATCAGGCATGTTCACACCTGAAACAAAGGTTGCAAGTGAAGGGAGAAAACTCGTTAGAGAAACCGTTATGAGTCTGGTAAAGATAACAGTTCAAATTTGTCTTTACCTGTGAGTAGTGTAGCAGCAGGAATTTCAGTGTGGGATGTTTCAGGATTGGAGGAACACTTTTTGACATACTCTAATAAACCTTCAAAAATTTCAGTGAAAATTTTCTTTTCTAGAACCTTAAAGAAAAATCATGAATTGCAGTGTTTTGTTCATAGATAAATATTCTGAATAAAGCGACAACTTACTTCTAGTAACTCCTCAGATGATCCCATACACTTTTTGTACGACTGATACCATAAATTTCCTGATAAGTGGACTGAAGAGGGAATTTTACCTTTCCTTTTTCTCTTGAAGGCAAAACAACCCTAAATACAAAAACAATGCATGTTGACAGTAGAAAAACAGTTTTCTGCAAGGGAAGCATAACCTCAAGCATAACGTCAATTTACCTTGGACACAGAGACAGTCGAATCCATGTCAACAAATGTAACTTTGAAAAACAAATTTAGAAATCTTAAAGAAAAAGAAGACTCTTTTCAAATAAATAAAGTCGACGGGTTCTTTTAAATGTATTGAAAATTAGGTAGTTGACAACACACACTACCACTGAAGTGTCACTGCTGTGACTTTATTTCCCGCCATTTCCCCTCCCTCTATTTTGGATGCGTATAGTGCATCCGCAGAAAGCTGCCTTTTTCAAGAAAACAAGGCACTTGCTTTCGATACGTTTCTCATACTCATGGTACTCTTCATGACAAACGTGCTATGCATGATCTATGAGTGTGTGTATGAGAATTATAACGTACTCAAAACAACACGAAGAACGAACGACTACTCCCCCTTGATTTTGACATTTCTAAACGCTGTTGAGGTAAATCCTATAGTTCATTGAAATGAAACAAATTTTATGCGTTTTCTTCTGTAAGATGGACCTTGTCCTTCTGTGTCGTCTTGATTTTACAAGAGGAATCTGTCTCCCTAACCTTACTCAATTATGCTCTAAATATTATTTTCGAAGGATACTCGTGTAGCAGCTACCACAATAATTACCTGTTCTTCTCTAGGCCTTAAAATCACGACTGTCAACCCTGCTGACACATATGCTTTTATTCTAGGTTGCCGCAGATTTCATCATGGATGTAGCAACACGGAAGGCTGAATCGAAGTCGCACAAGAAATCCAAGAAAGAAAAAAAGGAAAAGAAGCATAAAAAGTCTAAAAAGAGTAAAAAGCAAAAAAAGAGGATTAGAGAGTCTTCCTCATCATCTTCCTCTTCAGTGAGTTGTGTAACGTTCTTAAATCATAGGCTTGTGTCAGTTTGTACAGTGTTTTTGTTTTACAGTGTTCTGATGAAAGTGGCAATGAATGGGTAGAGAAAGCTCCAGAAAAAGAAAAAGATGTGAAAGAAGTCTCAACACTCAGTTCCAGCTCAGCCCCTGAAAGAGATGAATGGATGACTGTCCCATCTTTGTTTGCTTGCGTGACGAGAGATCAGCTTCGTGCTGCTAAACAGCCCACCGAAAAGCAGAAAGAGCAAGAAGCGGCAAAGTATATGCTTGACCGGGTATGTTTATCTATGTTTTTTCTATTCTAGAGGAATACTGTTCTTTTGGTGTGTATGGCATAAGTTTTTTGTTTTGACTCCAGCCTGGGCAAAGTGGCCGTGAACTGAACCCCTACTGGGCAAATGGTGGAACAGGCTTGCCTTCTGAGAAGCCTCCTGAGCCAGAATCGCTATCATTGAATTCTACAACAGTTGGTGATCAGGGTGTCAATTGGCTTCGGAGAGCCCTACAGCGAGCCAAGGAACAGGCAGAAGAATCTGGTCGGTCATTGGAAGAGATTGCTGCTGAGCGATGGGGGGTAGGTACACGTTAACCATTAATAATAATAACAACAATAATAATAAAAGTTTTAACAATGATTCTCTTTGATCTGCTCTAGTCCCTTGCAAAACTGGAAGAACTTCTCTCTGAGGCTGAGGGCCGCAAAGTTTCCTTGTCCCGAGATGACAAACGAGGGGGTAATGATAGATTTAGTAGGAGACCTGGATCTTACAGCAAGGAAAGAAGAGAAGATCACAGAAGAACAAATGAAGAAAGGTCTGATACAAATAGAGGTCAGTACTCTAGTGGCTCTGAAAGAAGAGACAACGATAGAGACTATAGAAGAAAGCCAAACTTTTCCAGGCCAGATAGTGAAAATTCTTCAAGCTCCAGACATAAATATAGTGGAGAGGAGTCAGATGCAAGAAGTGATGACCGAAGACAGAAAGCACGGTCCTATGGAGATGATGAATCTTATGATAAATACCGTCAGTCTTCATCTGAAGGAAGGTCAAGGCTTTCCTTTAAAAAACCGGGTGAAAGTGATTTAAAATCTTCCTCAGATTATAGGTATGGTCAGGGCTCAAGTGGAAACAAAAACTGGCGTAAAAAAGATGCTAATCCTGTATCAAATGTGCCGAAGCCAGAGCGCTCAACAGCCAGAAAGGAAAAATCAAAATCTCCTTCACCAGCCCAGAGTTCTAGCTCAGAATCAGAGCCAGAAAGTGCACCACCTATTAAAGCACCTGAGGAACCAGAAGTTTTATCAGATCATCAGTTGAATGAACTTGCTGCCAAATTGGTGAAAGCTGAAATCTTAGGTAATGATGATCTCGTTGCTCAGCTGAAAAAGAAGCTGGAGCTAGCGAGACAAGTGCGTGCTGCCAATCCAAAACTGGTTGCATCGAGCTCTAGAACTGCGAAGTCTGAGCAAGAGGTTGTAGTCCTTACACGAACTGACTCTAAGGGCTTTGCTCGACCTCTTCAAACAAAAAGTGCCCATCCCGAACCAGTTGGTGGACGGAGAAAAAAGGAAAAAGCCGAGACACATGGTGCAGATGGTCAGAGAGTTCGGTACTTTGCAGATGATGATAAATATTCCTTGCAAGATATGTTCCAGCAAGAGAAGCTTACCACTGTTGAGGACCAAAATGAAATGTTCACAAAATTGGCCGGGAAAGACAAAAGACAAGAGCATGATCTTGATATGGATGATATATTCTCTGAGAGGGCTCGTCAAAAGGATTCTGATGGGAAGATAGAAGCTAGAGAAAGAGGAAGGGCTATACAAGAACATAAACGTAAAGAGAAAATGCTTGATAGCTGCAAGTGGTGCTTTGATGGGAAAGAACTTCAGCGTCATCTGATTGTAGCTGTTGGTGCCAAGTCGTATGTCTGTTTGCCTCCTTACCAGTCTTTGACAGAAGGACACTGTCTTATTATACCCCTCCACCACAACACCTGTTCTACTATGCTGGATGAGGATGTTTGGGAGGAAATTCAGGTGCATTCACTTAATCTTTTCAATCATGTTCTTTCCCTATCTAAAACTGAATTGAAAGCTCATTTTATTTATTTTTTTCCATTTGTAGGACTTCCGGAAGGCACTAGTAAGAATGTTTGCCGCAGATGATGAAGACTGTGTTCTCTTTGAAAGTGCAATGTACCTCAACAAATTTCCTCACATGGTCTTGCAATGTGTTCCACTTCCACGAGAAACTGGAGACATGGCTCCAATCTATTTTAAGGTAAGACTATTGCCCCCACTGTTTATTTATCAAAAACAGATATAAGGTGTGCTTAGCCTTTCCATTGCATTGCATTCCATATTTTATTTTTACAGAAAGCTATTCTAGAATGTGAAACTGAATGGTCTACTAACAAGAAGCTGGTTGATTTGTCAAAAAAAGATATCCGTCACTCTGTTCCAAAGGGACTACCTTATTTTGCAGTGGATTTTGGAAATGAGGGTGGTTTCGCCCATGTCATTGAAGAAGAGAAATATTTTCCCACTAATTTTGCCCAAGTGAGTGTTACTGAGTTCTTCTCCTAATTCCTTTCCAGCTTGGCACACACTGTGCCCTCGTACTTACCCATTATTTTTTTCTTCAGGAAATCATTGGAGGCATGCTTGACTTGGATCATAATTTGTGGAGAAAACCCAGGGTTGAAAACTTTGACAAACAGCGCCGAAAAGTAGTAGATTTTTCCAAAAAGTGGCGTGATTTTGACTTTACAAAAAAGACAAATCAAGCAAAACGAATGAAGACTGATAACTCCAGCTCATCGGAATCATCACCTTGAAACAAATTGTACCTAAATCTGGAGGCTTTGTAATTTTAGACAATTAGAAGTAAAAAGAACTCAAAGAATATACTTTCTAACTAAATTGCATTTTATTTATCTTTTAACACGGTCCAACAAGTTATGCCAGATTGAATTCATGCATTTGTTATCCGTGTGTGTAAGGTACATTATCAATTGGCACGGCCATAATAAGTTGTTTTTTTTAACACAGCTTTAGTTTCTATGTCACAGCTTATGACTGTATTGCATTTTGGACAGAACAAAATACATTAGTCTGAATTTCTTATTACAAGTTACGAGCTCAATAAAATTGAGCTTATGGCAATGTAACATGGTCCTATGCTACCACTTTGGATTCCATTTTTAGTGCAAAATTTGACTCTATGAGAATCAAATTAAATTTATAACTTTTCTGACACATTGAATTTGTGTTAAACAATGAAACATCCACACTAGTAACAATGTTTTAGAGTTTTATGAAAGAATTAACAGTCACTTCTTTTATACATTACCGTAGACTTTACATTAAATTATTTTAAAACACATGTTCATAGTCTTTTTACAAACTGTTAACAAGTCTTAATTTCAGTTTTCTTTAGTAACCTAGAACATCACCTTTATTTTCCTCATGCAGTCTGAGGACAAAAGAAATCACACAAGTCTGTATTCCTGGTCCATGAAGTGCATCAGGACAACATTGGCTGCAGTGTTGCCTTCGGTCTGTGGAGTTACAGAAGTCCTCTAGGTTTTCCTCCTTAACCACCCGCTCCAGTATATACCATGCGAATAATGTTTTTGCCGCAAGCTTAGTTTCACCCATAGCAAGTTGCTTTAGACCCATGCCTGTTTCCTTAAAAATGATAGAAAGAGTGCACAGGTACTAGGTACTCATAAGAAAAAGAACAAACAAAAATTTGTGAGACCTTTTAACGACACAATTCTATTTATTTTATTTTCTAAATATTCTATTCAAGGAATCTGTTTTTGATTAGCAACTTTTACTTTCATATTAATTTGTCATAATTTGTGGAAGGTATTTCTTTTGCCATGCAATGGTGTCAGTGAAATTTATTATTAACTTCTTTTTATTTTTTGATCCCCCATTGGGACAGTGTAAGTTAGGCTCATTTTCCAGTTTAAAATTATATGTGCACTACTATGCTAGTCAAACATTTTTTTTTAGTCATTTAGGAGTGAGAGCTACTTGGCATTTCTTAATTTTCACTAGTGTGCTGGAACCATCCCATTCTTTGTGCGTGTAAGTGTTAAGTGAAATTTACAAGTTCATTGCTTTTTAAAATACATAAGGTGCTTGTTTGATTTAAACTCTATATTAATATTCTAAGTTGTTTTGTTCTGTTGCCATGTAGCAACTTGGATACACCTTTAATTAAATGTAGATGATCTTTAAAAATGTGGATGCAAGCAATCTTTTCGAGTTGATGTTGTTGTCCATGTCACACCTTGCCTATTTTCTTCCCGTTGCTTTGCATCACACAATTTCCTAGCTTATACAAAATTATACTTTTTTGAGCGAGATGAGCAGGCTAATTGAAATTGAGTATTGAACTCTTGATGATAATTGCTGCACAGCTGTTGCAACAGATTGACTTTGTTACCCTGCCTACTCAAATTCCCTTTTATCAATAAGGGAAATGTTGGCATCTCACTGATAGAATTAAATATCACACATTAAATATGGCTAGTGTATATCAATAAAACTAAATGTAATTGAGGCACAAGAGGTAACATGCATTAGGACGTCTTTTCATCTACTACCTAGAAAGAGGTTTGAAGTGTTTCCATATATGGTTTGAGCACAGCATGGGGCTAACACAAAATTGTTGTTTCATTTCTTGCATATCTGTGGGTGATGTGTGCGTAACTAGGGGCAACTTCGACAGTCTGGATTGGAGTCAGATTTCCACAACATTCTAATGGGATGTTGTCTAAGAAGTGATAAAAAGTGGTCCTTCACAGCGACCGAACACACCAGGTGATCAATAACTATAGAAAACATGAACACATCTTAATCACCATACTAGAGTATGTTTTAAATAAGTTTAAAAAAAATTATATTGTGAATAAAAAATGGCAGTAAAGAAGTGATAATGAACAAGGTCAAAGGTTGCCATGTGAGTATGGGTCGCAAAAAAAGTTGCAACAATCTGGCAGACATGATGTACAAAAATACAAAATAAAAATGAAACAAAGTTCAAGGGCAGTGTAAGTGTAAGGATAGGTTAAACCTTTCTGTATTCCACGATCCAGACTGCTTTCGGAGGCTCCCCTAGTGGCTTTTGGCACTAGCAGGTGGGGCGGTGGTTAGGGGAAGTCGGCCGGGCCGACCGACACAAGTAGAGGACTTCTGCTCGGCCCACCCGGTACGGTGTGCGTACGGGCGGCCACATCCTACACGGTGCTCTCAAGCTCCATGCGGATGTACTCCACAGACCTGGCGTGCTGTCAGGAGTTGGCGTCGAGAAGCAGTTCAGACGTGGGCACGCGGCGCGGCTGGTTGGCGATGGCGTCGCCGTCCACGCCGGAGAGGCGGCGCCCCGTGCCGTCGCTGCGCCGCCGGCTCTTGGTGCGGCGGTAGGTGCCGGGCAGGGAGCCGCCGCTGAGGCCGGCGCTGAGCGAGCCGCGGCTGCCGATGGTGCCCCTGGAGGACGTGACGCTGCTGAGCGTGCCCGCGCCACTGCCGCCGCCGTAGCCGCCGTAGCCGCCGTAGCCCGCGTCTTGCTTGGCCTGCAGGCGGCGGCGGCGCGCCCTGGCGCGGCACAAGACCAGCAGCAGGCAGGCCAGCAGCAGCGCCACGCAGCCAGCGCCCGCGCTCGCCATGGCGAAGTACAGCCCGCCCGGCAGCCACGTGAAGATGCGCCGCCCGATGAACTCGCACTTGGGGTCCGCCTCGTCGAAGCCCGACGGGCAGTTGGGGCGGCCGTCGCACCACAGCGACTCGCTGATGCACGCGTTCAGCTCCGGACACCTGGGGGCGGCACGGACAAGACGTTAAATCTGCTCCCACACTTTGAGAAGCACTCGGTGTCGCGGCCGTGGCACTCACTTGTGGGGGCAGTCCCAGCCGAGGGCCAGAGACAGGTTGCCCTTGGGGATGGCGTCGGGAGGCGGCTTGGCGCCCTTCTCCGACCACAGCCGCTGCTGCAGGGCCAGCTTGGGCCTGGAGATCTCCAGCCAGTGCAGCGCGGCCGAGGCCGAGTCGCGGCCCACCCACTCCACCAGGAAGCTGGGCGCGCCGTAGCCGCCGAAGCCCTGCGTCGCGCCCGCCGCCATGGCCGCCACCGCCACGGCCGTGTACGACTGCGTGCCCGGCGGCGCGGCGGGGAGCTGCTGGCCCGCCGGCAGCCCGAACCACTCCTCCGAGAACACGTGCAGCGAGAAGGGCCGCTCGCGCTGCGGCAGCGGGCACACCACGCGCGCCAGCCTGCAGACAAGGTCGCGTCACACCCCACTCCAGGAAGGCCAAAACAAAAAGGCACTGCTGGGGTTCGAACCACTGACCGGAGCGGCCGGCCCGAGTACAGCAGGATGCGGCTCCTCGTGTGGCAGCGCGAGGGCGAGGACCCTGTCGTGGAGTCGTCGATGGGGCCCGACACTGGCAGGAAGCTGCCCCACGTCAGCAGGAACAGGCTCTTGTTCTCGTGCGCCTCCACCATCCACGGCAGGCCCTCGCAGCTCAGGTCAGTGCGGCTGGACGCGGGGCTCTCGAACTCGATCTCGCCGCCAGCCCCTCTGCAAGAGGAAGACGCGCCGAGCGCCGTGAGGACGATGAGCGCCTGCCCGCGCCGCAGCCGTGCTCGGCGGGACGGCCTACCCGCCGCTTTGCGGGCGCTCAGAGACAGAGCGAGGAAACTCCACCACCCACCTCAGTCTTTGTTTCCTTGAGCATTCGTTGCTCCGCACCATCTCGAAGGTGGCGTGGAAGTGCAGGTCGTCGAAGTCCTCCGTGACGTTGAGCTGCGTGACGGTGAAGGCGAGCTCCAGCACGCGGGACGCCGACTGGTACACGAAGGGCCGTGACGTGACGGTGGTGTTGTCGCACAGGCAGGCCCGCGGCAGCCGCACGTCCCTCCAGGGCACCTTCGCGCCGACCGGGGCAAATAGAGGCCGTTGTTTCAGTCCCAATCCCGGATTATGTGGCTCGTTCCGAAAGAGAGAGAGAGAGAGAAAAGTCGGCTTGTTCTTGTTACCTCCCAGAGACGCAGCTCCGACGTCCTGGCCCCCACCGCGTACGCACAGCTGGGCCGGCCCGTGTGCGGGTCCGCCACGGTGCTGCACGCGTCGCTGTCCCCGCCGAAGGAGGCCTTGTCCACGGTCAGGCGGATCTGTGGACAAACGCAGCGCGGTGAAACGAACTGCTGCCGATTGGAGGCCGTCCCTGCGGACTGGGGTATCGCTGGCGCGGCGTGCACACCGAAAGTGAAGACGTACCCGCTCGTTGCTGGCCGCCTCGATGCGGTAGATGCAGGAGAGGTTGGCGGCGCCGCCCCTCCCGAACATGAAGACGTTCCGGGGCGAGAACACGTCCCCGGAGCGCAGCTTACGGAACAGGCGCGCGCAGGGGATGGGTGGCCGCGAGAGGGGGCGGCCCGCCGACGCCACTGCGCCCGACGCCAGGATGGCGCCGCGGCCCGTCCACGCCTCCCCGCCCAGGTTCGTGTCGACGAACTCGTAGTGCAGCCTGAGGAGGGCAAGGTGGCGGCGGCGTTAGCACGGAGCGTAGAGCCGACGATCCGGCGAGGTGGCGTGCCGCGTGAACCAAGGCTTACCTCCAGTGCACGGGGTGCAGGGCGGTGCCCTCCGTGATGGTGTGCTGCATGGTGAGGTCGGTGCCCGTGGACTCGTAGCTCTCGTGCGGCCCGCAGGACCGCGTCGTCCTGGTGGCGTTGCCCAGCGCGGCGTGCGCGCACAGCCGGGGCCCGTCCTTGTCGCAGTGCGAGGCCAGCACCGGCAGTCCTGCCAACAGAGCCGCGGACGGTTGGTGTCAGGCCGTCAGGTGGCCGCCAGTACGACGTCCTGCCTTCTGCCTTACCCGTGGTGCCCCCACCGTCCCAGATGCGCAGGCGCATGGAGCAGGCCGAGGCCGTCGACGGCGTGGCCGCGGGATCCACGCCGAGGATGTGGTTCAGGTCCGATCGGTGGTGCGAGCCGGAGCCGGCCTGGTTGGACTTGGTGCCGCTCAGACCGATCCAGGGGCTGGGCGGCGGTGTGCTGGCCGGCCTAAACAAATAGCAACAAATTTAAACTTGCTGCCCCCAAATTGTTATAAGCACACGGCAGAGGTTAAAGTTACCTAGGCGGCAGCAGCAGAAGGTGGTTGTGAAGCAGGGACGGTGGCCTGGCCGAGGTCGTGGTGGTGGAGGTGGCGGGCGTGGCCAGCACGGAGGGCAGGCTGCTGGAGGTGGACAGCAGCGAGTGGTGCGAGTACGCCAGGAAGTACAGCCACACCGTGTCGCCGGCCAGCCCGTGGAAGCGGTACGTGCACGTCGTGTTGGGCGGCAGCGTGTGGCGCGGGCTCAGCACGTGGCCCCAGCGCGGCGGCGGGTTACCCGCGCCGCCCACGCCCCACGAGGTCGCGTTGATCCAGAACTCGCACCTGGAAACAGAGCGGGGACGGCAAGCAGAGTCATGAATAAGTAAACATGGCAAATTGAATTATTCCGACACCGGATGATGTATTGTGCATTGTTGTCCTGCGGGATCCCCAAACGAGGTGTACCGTGTAGCGCCACCAGAGCGGCGACCCGCGGTCGGGAAAAGTTTTGCAGGGTAGTCCCCGCGCTGCCGCGGTCCACACGCTGACCGCACCCAGCCGTTCAAACCCCTCCCCCTCCCCTCTGGCAACACATCGCCCAATCTGAATGTGAATCCAGGCGCGCAGGGCCGCAGGGGCGGTACGCTGTGTACGTATCGAAGTGAACGGGCACGCATGAAGAGCGGCGCGGCGGCGCGGCGGCACGGCCCTTTTGCACGGCCCCAGTATAGCTCCTCTACCCCGCCACTTCCCTTTTCGTAAGCCGCACCCATGTCAGAATAGCTCGCAGACATCCGCACCCTGCTCCAGACGCCCTGCCGCCCCGCCCCGCCCCGCCCCGCCGCGCCACACCACATCGTGTCCATGTGACTGACCTCGCCTGGAAACGCACCCCTCCTGCTTCGCTTCATCGCATGCCGCCGTGCCCCGCGCAGGCACACTCGGCTACCGGTTTGCCTGCCAGCTCGGGAGAGCCTGCAGGTTGTATCGCGCTAAATCTTTTTAGCAGATGATACCTTTACTTAACGTTCGTTGAATGAGATTTTTTTCTCGTGTAGCGCCTATGGCGGCATGCTTTGGGAAAGGAGCAGGGCTTGCGATGCTCCCTGTGTACTTCTGTATTGCCTGGAGAGCCCCGCCCGCGCCCTGGCAGTCGGCCCCTCGCCGCCTCGCTGCCTCGCTCCAAGGCGACCGCGATCTTGTTGGCCAGCCCGGCGTGGCTCTGCGGTGGCACCGCACCGCGCCGCGCCGCCCGGGCAATGACGCTTATTGGATATGGGCGTCTGAGGGAGGAGAGCCTCTGGCCTCTGCCCCGTCCTCGCCCCCGGCCTCACCCCCCGGCCTCACCCCCCGGCCTAGCCTCACCCCAGGCCTCGCTCCGGGCTGCTGGAACGCAGGAATGAATTAAGCGGACATGCAAATTGGAGCAAACCTCCTCCAGCCAACAGGGCGGGGCAGGGTGGCGGGGCGTGCGGGGCGTGGCGGGGCGTGGCAGGGCCCAAGCAGGAGCAGGCCGGGACGAGACTCAAGTGTGCGCGCCACGGTGCCACGTTGCAGCGCGGAGGGGAGGGGGGAGGGGGGGAGGGGGAGAAGAAACGCACAACGACTCTTGCTGTACCGCCCCCTTCCTTTCCCCTCCCCTCCCCTCCCCTCCCCCGATCCCCCGGTGCCATTCGTGCTGGCAGGGCGCGAAATGACGTGGCGGTGGACGGGACGGGGGCCTCCTTGACCTCCTTATTGGTGTCGTTGGCCTGCCTTGGGCTTTGGCACACTCACTTGCGGGGGTCGCGCTGGTAGTCCAGCGAGTCCGAGTCCGAAAACATGACGTCCACCTCGAGCTCGAAGCCGCGCAGTGGGCTGAGCGCGTGCAGCGGCGCGGAGAAGGCCGACGAGTGGAAGGCGACGAGCATCTCGGGGCCGCGCGACGAGATCTTGGGCAGCCAGTCGCCGCCGCACCACTTGATAAGCACGGGGTCGCTGGTGGAGGGTCCGTCGTAGAACACCAGGTAGTCGCGCTCGCCCAGCGGCCCCGAGCAGTCGTCCCACACGCGCACCGCGCGCGACGTCTTGTTGACGCTGGCCGGCAGCGCGGCGGCGGCGCGCTTGATCTGGATCTGGAGGACAAGACAGTCAGTCAAGCGCTCGCGGAGGCCGCGGACGCAGTGGCGGTGTACGGCGTACCTTGTGCTCGGCGTTCTGGTGCACGGTGATCATGGCGTGCTTGCAGTGCGGCACCTCCTTCTGCCGCAGGCTCAGGAAGCAGGTCACGTTGCGGGGGTACATGCCGGGGTAGTTGGGGCTCTGCAGCTTGCACTTCTTGCGGTAGCACTCGTCGAACTGCCGGCTGCAGTACGTCCCCGGCACGCCCTGCAACACGGGAAGGGGCAGCTGTCACTCACCCGGACCGACGTGACGTGCGTGACGGCCTACTTGGCGGCGCGGACGAGCGGCGACAAAGCAGCCTCGTGGGCACAACGAACGGCGGAATGGTGCGGCCGGCGGCCAGCCATTGTGACGGGCATCGCGCCGACCGCCGAGCCGCTCGCGATAAAATTGTAATGAAGTCTGGTCCACGAAGGGAGGGGAGGGGGAGTGGGTCAAAGAGACGCCGAGGGGGGGGGGGTTGTGCTTGCGAACTGGCCGCGCAGCCGCCATGGTTGCGGCGGTCTGATGACAATGACGAACCGAGAGAAAAAGTTCTGGCGGATTTTCCAAAATCCGCCAAAGTGTGGTGGCAAGTGTTGTCCTCACCGTGCCGCGCTCGACCTGCTTGTCGTGGCTGCCGAAGCGCACCACGGCGTCGTCGCGCGTGATGAAGCGGTAGCGCAGGTGGAAGCGGAAGGGCGTGGCGGCGTGCGCCGTGGACGCGAAGAGGCGCAGCGACAGCGTCACGGTGGACACCTCGGAGAAGTACACGGCGTAGCCCGACGACGCGCCGCACCAGAAGCCGCCCGTGAACGGCCGGCCCAGCTCGGCCAGCGTCATGTGGCCGTCGGGGCAGCCCGCGTCCGCGGCGTGGCGCAGGTAGCGGCCCACGTGGAACTCGTCGAAGATGAGCTGCGGACAGAGAGAGAGAGAGAGAAGAGTGAGTCGGCCGTTCTTCCTCGTGCCGCACCGCAGCGCATCGCCGCTCCGTCTCTCTCGCACCCACACGGGGCGCCACCCCAGGAGCGCGAGAGAGACCGAGCGGCGAGGGCACTGCCAAGGCCGCGCACACACGCGCTCGCTCGCTAGGCGGGCAGATTGCTTAATTTGGTTCCCGGCCTCGCAAAGCGGCGCAAAGTGCTTGCCGCTTGCAGACTTGGGAAGACTTGCAGGGCGGCATAGGCTCCTCGCCAGGAGGCTGGCTGGGTCGGGGAGGGGCGAGGAAGGGGAGGGAGGGGGCAAATATTTACCGGATGTATCCGGCGTTCGCACAGGTGAGCCCCGTGCCCAGGGGACCGAGCCCCGGCCCGCCGAGCCACGTAGCTCCGCTCTCAGGCCAAAGCCCGAGACAAAACTTGATGCTCTAGTGCTTCCTATATACCTCCCCGAATCCCCCGGCGGCCCTCCGCCCCCTGACGGCCCCCCGGCCTCGCTCTACTAGATCAACATGGCGGCTGGCGGCGCACGGCCTTCTTGTGCACGGCCGGCACGGCGTGGCGGCGTCGCTCTGTCGGGGAAGGGGTCAACACGCAGAAAGAAGACGACGGCCTTTTGCCTGTTTGCGCCAAACAGCCAGCCGCCCGGCCCACCGCGAGTTTCCCCTCCACTGTAATTGAACGCCTGCACGGCCTCCTCGGCCTCCTCCGTCTTTGTGACGGGAAACGCTTTCAATGAGGCCTCCACCGCGACTCGCGGATCAAAGACGAGATTTTGGGTCCATTTTCTTTCTTTTTTCTATTCCCGCGCTTGCGAAGCAGATTCGGTGCCGCGGCCCACAGAGGGACCTCAGGGGGGCCTCAGAGGGACCTCCAGGGGGCCTCAGAGGGACCTCGGGGGCCCACAGACGGGAAGGGCGGGGCAGGCCCTGCCCCCGATGCTAGCAGGCTGCCACTCCAGCGTTTGCGCAGGGCTTCAATGGCCCTCCCCCCTCCCCTCCACCCCCGTCGCGACTAAAACACCACGAATAGAATAGGAATATCCAAGAGACCATAAAGGCACGCGGCGCCGTGACATGGCCGGTCGCCCCACAATGCCTACACTGTGAAACCGTGAGCCAACAAGCTTTATCGAGCGCGGGCTAGACGGTGGCTGGAAAAGCCGAAAGCCGAAAGCTGGCCAAGCGGCGCCATGCGGCGGATAGAGGATGCGGCCCTTCGGAAAATTTCATTATTTGGCGGTGCTGAAAGCGGTTGAAAGGGCTCGGGTGAAATATGTAAGCAGCAGGGTAAGAAAGGGCTGCCCTGGCGAGAGCCCCCGACCCCGGTCCCCCCACCGGCCAGCCGGCTTTGGGGGGGGGGGGGGGGGCAGCTGGAGTGACCCAAAGGTTCGCCGTGCGCCGGGCTTGCCCGGTGGCCAGATGTTTCGTCCTACACCACCGGGGTCGGCATTAGAAGCAGGGTCTGGAGCGGCAAACGGCCCAACGGCCGCGGCAATAGTTATGCGCTGCCGATTAAAACGGACCAGCTCGGCACCGCCACGGCACCGCCACGGCACCGCCCTCCGCCAGACCACAGGCCGCTGCCGGAGCACGCCACAGCACGCTAGAGCGCACCGGGAGCGGGCCGCTGCTTCGCTGTCGATGCACAGATTTCACAAAGGGTGGGGCAGAGAGGGGTCGGGGGACCCCGGCCAACCCCGGCATTGTATGCAGAGCTGCGCGAGGCGAGGCCGCGGAGCGAGGCGCACCTCCATCCACAGTCGGACGCCGAGAAAACGGGCAAAATTGCAGGGTCGGGGCGCAGAGAGAATACCAACGTGTGCAGACAATAAGGCGGTGGCGGTGACAAGTAGTATTGCCGGAGGGAGAGAGAGATAGAGAAAGTCGGGCGGCGGGGCGGTGAGTAGCTGCCGGGCGAGGCCACACAAGTTTTGCTTTTCATTTCGGCTCCCCTGCATTAAACTGCTGGCGGGGCCGGTAGTTACACGTTCCCTCAGAATAACAACCGCGGGCCGCCCTGCGCTCCGCCCTAGGCCCCGGTCGGCCAGCACTGCCAGCACTGCCAGCGGGGCGGTCTGGTCTGGCAGTCTCCTGTTATCAAGCCCGAGCGAACAGGCGCCGCCACCGCCCTCACAAGCAGCGCACCTTTTCGGTACTGTACTGCAGAGCCTTCCCTCTCTCCGCTGCTCCGCTTGTAGGACGCTCGGCCCGCCGCAGGCTCCGACCCACCGGGCCCACCGGGCCCACCCGGCCCACCGGCCTCGGATTACCCCTTCCCGTTCATTAGCGGGCACGGCGGGGCAGGGCATGGCGGCGACCCGCCAGAGGGTCCTCCTCCCCGCCCCGCCCCGCCCCGTCCCGCCGCTGGCCGAGGGTAACGCAATAGACGCACGTGATTTTCGCACCTCCGGGATTTTCTTTATCGCAGCAGTATTTCAAAACTGGGTCACTGGGTCGACTGGGCGCTCCGTCGCCTGATCGAGACTGGCCGAGGCGGGGCTCCGGGTCGGGGGAGGGAAAGGGAGTCACAGGACACGCGTGCTCGGCCCCGCCGCGTAGCCGCGTGCACTCTGAGCACGTACACGGCCTCGACGGCCACTTGGCCCGGCATGGCGGCGCGGCGTGGCGCGGCGTGCTCCAGAGACACTGCTGCTGCACTCCAGCGTGCGTGTGAATGGCGCCTCGCCCGCCTCTCCCGCCTCGCCCCGGGCGGCCCAGCCACCCTGCCACCCCGTCGCGCTCGGCTTACGCGTCCTCGCGGCTGGCTGAAGCCAAGACAATGTCGCCTGTCTTTTTCCCGGTGCAAAGGGCCCACTTTTCGCGTCGTCCTCGCCGCCAAGTCCTGGGCCTCGCAAAGGGCGCCTGCGAGGTAGGCACCCCGGTGGACGCGCGTGTCGCCGTGCTGCCGCGCTCCGCTTCGCAGGCGCTCCGGGCCGCAGCCTCTCGACTCCACGGCCTCGTCGTCCTCGTCCTCGGCGCCGACCGAAATGATTCTAATGCGAGTAGCGGAGGGTGGGGGGCGGGGGGCTGCCGCCGCCCACCGGGGCGCGCCGAGGCCAGCCGTGGCCGGGCCAATTTCTGGACGCGATCACTAATTCAACTTCTTCCAGTGCCGCCGCCCGGATGGCGCTTTCATGCGACCGCGCAGCCGGGGACCGCCGGGGACGGGGATGGGATGGGGCCCGGGCAGGCCCGCGACGGCGACGGGGTCGACGCGGGTCGGCGAGCAGTCACCTCCCCGACGAAATATGCCTGGCGCGGCCACGGCGACGGCGCGGGGCGGGGCGGGGCGGCGTGGGGCGGCCCACGACGAGAATGGAGAGGGGCATGAAAGATGTAGAGGCCCCCAGAGTATGACTCAGTATGCCAGGTGCGGGGTGGGAATCGTCGCCACGGTGCGCGGTGCGGGCGAGGGGGTGGGGTGGGAGCTTCGGCTGCCCCTGGAGAGCAAAATGAAGGTGTAAGGAGGGCGGCAAAAGAAGGCGGTGGGGGTGGCGGTGAAATAGGAGCTCGCCGACGGAGGCGATCGAGGGAGGAGGACCAGGAGGGCCTTGAAGGGGGCGGGGGCGATGTGTGGCCGGCCACGGTGCGCCGCGCCCCCGTCCCGCACCGCCGCACCGCCGCACCGCTCCAGATCGAATAACGCCAGCGTCACGCTTCGCCCCGCTTCGCCTCGCTTCGCCACCAATCGGCCCACCGGCCGCCGAGTACCGCCAGGCGCGCCAAATTTGAACCGACAGGGTGCACTCTGCCGCGTCCTCCACTCCGTTCGGCCGGCCGGCCGCTGTGCCGAGGCCGAGGCCGCTCGGCGCTGCTGCTGCTGCTTTGCCATGCCGCCATGGCACTGGATGGCCGCGAATGAAGACAAACTGACGGCCGGCCGGGCGGCCTGGAAACTGGAAGTGCGTACGCTTTGGCCGTAACACACCCCGTTACGTTTCCGCTGCGGTGCCCCCCCTCCCCCCCTCCACAGCTGGTCGCGGGGGAACGACCCCCGCCCTCTTCGCGGCGGCGGGCGCTAGTGTTGCCCTGGGGTGTCATTCCACGGCCTGCACAAGCTGAATTTTTCACGGCGTATGGAACGCAAAAAGGGGAGGGGCGCGCTCTGGAGGCTCGCACACACGCGCACGCTCACACATACTCACGCAAATACACACGCACACACACTCAGGCACACGCACACAACGCGCGGTCGGAGTTCCCCTCAAGCCCGGATTTTTTTCCCCGTGGCGCGTCATAAAGTGAAGCACGTACTCGGAGCCGACAAGCCGGCAAGCTGGTTAGCAGGAAAAAAGAAGTCAGCCACTGCGCTAATGGGGCATGGCCGGCGTGGCGTGGAGGGGCGCCAAATATTCCAAATATTTCCCGTTCCCTGCGGTGGGATGTGGCGCTGCGTTACGCGGCGTGATGGTGTTGACGACGAGGACTCTGTATTGAAACAACGCTCCCCGCCCGCCGTCCCGATAAAACAGTGCACTGACAAAGGCAGGTTGAACGGTGCTGTCGTCGCTCCGTCTCTCTCGCACCGCCTGCGGAACGCCCGCGCCCCACGAGTGCGAGAGAGACGGGAGTCGGACCGCAGTCGACAACTAACTGCCGACGCGGCGCTTTTTCATCCGGCCGCGCTTTGCTAATGCCAGCCTGGCCTAGCCTAGCCTCGCTCGGGGAGTCGCAGGACTCGCAGGACTCGCAGTGACTCGCAGCGCGCAGCCCTCCAAGACTTCTGTGCCATTAGCCTTCAGACTCTCGGGGGCGACTGCGTTATCATAATATCTCGGTTTCTCTTTCTCTGCACACGGAAAAAAAGAAATTCGCTGATTCAGCGAGAAAATCGCTGACTCAGCGAATTTTGGCCTTCTAGATTTGAGACAAGGGGCAAATTCGCTGAAACAGCGAACTTTTGTTCGCCAAACAAATATTCGCTGGAATAGCAAACAAATATTGCTGGGATTGCGATTCATGAACGCTGGGGCAGATACGGAATGTTGGATAGGAAATGTGTTAGCGACTTTGGTTTCGCTGAAATAGCGAACAATCTTTGCCCCTAATCTAGCAAAACGCGTATCGCTGGCTGATCCAGCGTCAACATACTTGCTGTTTGACGTTGGTCCAGCCCAACGGATGTGCACCGTATGATACCTGGTGACGCTCAGCTTCGCAAATATCCAACCTCGGTTGGATTTGAACCCGTGATCTTTTTAATACCAGACGCACGCTTTACCTCCAGGCTACCATGACATTCTCCTCGCATCAGCCAGAGGTTCGCACTTGTGTCCTGCGCCCACTTTCGACATGCTGTATGTTCGTTTAGCAAATAAATTCGCTCATTGGTAGGCAAAATGTGATTGCCACATCAGCTAACTGGGGTTCGCTAAACTAGCGTTATTTATCCTCGTGTCAGCGTTTATTTTCGCCACTTCAGCAAACTTGAGTCTAGCAAACGCAGTTTCGCTGAAGTAGCGAAATATTTTTTTTCCGTGTGTCGGCGCCGCGCCTCGCCACCAGGGCCTTCCCTTCCATTAGCAGGCCTGCCTTCTCGCTGACCGCCGCTTTTGTCCCGCTCGCCATGTCGCGTCGCTCTGTCTCTCTCGCGCCGTCCGCGGAACGGCCCAGACCGAGCGACGAAGGCACTGCTTCAGCATTAGCCTGCTGCACTGGGATGAGTGACGGGACGTTTTTCGCTTTTGTCTCTCTTTGCTGGTGGCGGGGATGTCCACCTCCACCATCTCGCCGCCGTGACGCGCGCGTCACATGACAACGAACGTGATGCGCCATCGTCATGACCCCGACCACCCTGACGCGGAGGGTAGTACTTGCGGCGGACAACACAACACATGCTGTCCGATACACTGCACGCGCGCTCTGTGTGCGCGCGTGTGTGTGTGTGTGCTGCACCCGTCATGTGGCGACCACCGCTGGCATCACTAGCGCGCCGTGCATGTGGTGCAATGTGTCAGAGGCAGCCGGGCAGCGCTGGCCACTCCATGGAGGCGTGCAGGCCGTACAGGCCGGCCGGGCTGTGACACGGGGCCGGGGAGGGCGCGTGAGGCGGCCCCGCCCCGCCGCCCCGCCTTGCGCGTGCCCCTGCCGCCGCGTCTAAATATTTATTCGCGTTCGTCCCCTTTGCGCTCTTCGTGGCGGCCGGGGCGTCCAGGGCTGCAGGCCGGGCCGGCGGCAAAGGCATCAATGAGTCAGGGCGCGCGGGGCGGGGCGGGGCCTACAGCGGCAAAGTGTTTATGGCTATAGTGTGACTCGGTAACAGGTTGGCGGGTTGGCGGGGAGCTACTGACCCGGCCCGTCAGCGAATCAGCTCTGCGCCTCAACGGCCTCTCCTCGAAGCCACGTCGGGCAGTCCAGTCGGGGCTGGCGGCGGGCAGCCGAGACGCCTCCCCGGCCTGGCCCGGCCCGCCATCGACCACTGCATTGCTAAATTTGAACACGACGGGGGACTTGCGACGAGCGGCCGGAATGCAATGAGTGCAATTAACGAGTCCTTGTTTTGAATCGCGGAATTGCTAGCGGAGCGTGCTCGGTGTTCTTGGCTTGTAGGTTCTTCGTGCCTGCCGCCCCCTCCATAGCGGCCTTGAACCACTCCCGGGACTCACCTGGATGAGCTCGCCGTGCGTGTGGCCGCTGGCAGTGAAGGTGAGGTGGCAGTTGTAGGGTATCCGGTCGAGCGGCGGCTTGCCCAGCGACAGCTCGTAGGTCTTGCCGACATCCCCATAGTACGTGCGGTTGCACACTGGAAAAACAAAACACACACACACACACTTTGAATGCGACGAACAACGGGAGGGACGAATACACACCCCGTTTTGCCACCTGAGTCGCGCGAGCCGCGTGCGGAGCGGGTGCGACGGCGCTGTCGCAAAAACTCAACGCGGCTCGTGAGTGGAAGAAAAACAAACGAAAAAAAGAGAATAAAACGAAAAACCAAATGAAGTAAAATTTGGGGTGTTGCCCCACCGCCACCACCGCTACGCTCCCTCTCGGAGGGCGTGTAACTCACACACGCTGGCCTCCCCTGCCACGCCGCTCATGAATTTCGCAATGGAGTGCCGTTTGATTCAAGCGCGCAATAATGGAAGGGGCCGTTTGCACCTTGCTGGCACCGAGCCCCGTCATTTAAATATGTGTCACACTCACACTCACACTCATACACACGCACACGGATGAGACTAATGGCGAGCATGTGTGTGAGCGCTCGGCTGCGTAGCCCGGCCGCCCGCGCCGCCCGCGGATGATGAATACGAAATTAATTAATCGCATTCGCTTCGCGGTCTCCGTCGGCGTGTGGATGGTGTGGATGGTGTGGTGGATGGCGCGGGCCGCCGACAACGCACGCCTCTCTCTTAACGCGCGGATCATCGACGCGCGGAGGAGGCGGGGACACCGCGGCGCGATTCGGAATAGTTATGAAGTTGGAACTTGCATTGGTCTACACAACGTTTTATAAATCATTCAAATCGCCACAAATATTAAGACGATAGGTCATTTTTTAAAGGATTGGTTGACTGGGGAGATGGATGAGTTCTTAAATCATGGGCTGTCTCAGATTTCCTTTTTTTTTTTCAGTGTGCCACCCTGCCCCGCTTGGCGTCGCTTGGCGTGAGCTCGAGAAGCAAACCGGATAGGGGATGTCAAGAGGGGTTGAGGAGTTACACCTGCCAGGCAACACCATGTCAGCCCCCCCCCCCCCCCCCCCCTCGGGGAGCCGCGTCTATCTCGCGCGACTCGAACAAAGCCGGGGTTGGGTCTCCACTGTTCTACTCGCGCGCGCACACACACAGTGGCACTCGTACGACTTTCACTCACACACACACCACCACCACAACACAACGCACACAGCGCTGTCGCCACAAACTGGAGCGCTCCACCAAAGCGAAACATTTACTCGGCTCCGCGTGATGGCTGGGCAGGGCACGTTGGCTGTTACATTTGCAATACAGCGGCTGTTTGTTTTGTTTTCGCGATTCTGGCACAGTATTCCGGCGGCCTCTACTTTTTCATTTTTCCTACCTGTGCAGTGCGGCGGCTCGTCACTCTTGTCGCCGCAGTCGTCGCGGCCGTCGCAGTACCGGTCCAGGCGGATGCACTTGTTGGTCTTGCAGGGGAATTCCGAGATGCGGCACGCGGGCAGGGCGGCGGCCGGGGGCGGCCAGGACGGCGGCCAGGGCCAGGCCAGCCCCAGGAGGGCCGCCCCCGCCAGCACCGCCCCCCAGCGCGCCGCCCCCCGCCGCGCCGCCCAGCGCGCCGCCCTGGCAGGTGTCACCCCTGCCGCCATGGCGCGCCTGCCGCGCCTGTGGAGAATGCCGCGAACGCCTTAGAGCCACAGCGCCGAAACATTCCCTTTCCCTTTTTGCAAAAAGAAAACGCCTCCGACAGTTACTACCGCCGCCGTGGCCACCGCTCACCCTCAGTGCCTCCGTCTCGTCGTCGGCGAGGTCGTCGGCGAGGTCGCAGAGGCCGTCACCGCCAGCGCCGCTGCAGAGGTGCGCGGCAGCGCCATCGCCCCGGCCTGGAACAGAGAGGACGTGATCAGAACGCGGCCGGCGCTTCTCCCTCGCACTCAGTCGGGGGATGCAGTGGAAGCGCTCGGGCGAGTGCTTTCACCGCTTTCGCCTCGCTCGCCTCACTCGCCTCGCTCTTTCATCTTTCATCAGCGGCCCGCCCCGCCCCGCCCCGCCCCGCCCCGCCCCGCTGGCCCACAGTCCGCGTCAATCACCAGCAAGGAACAGAGCAAACACACAGCGGCCTTGGGCCGACGGGCCGGGTGGGCCGAGCCGAGCCCACAGCGCCCAAGCCCACCCACTGGGGCAGACAGCCCAGCCAGCCCACCGCGGCTGAGCCGGGTCGGATGGGACTCAGGGTGCGGGTTCGAGTCCTGCGGTTCCCTGTGGTTTTGTGTGCATTAGCTGGCATTCCCTGGGAAGGCTCAAAGTGGCGATACGGGGCAAGGCGGCAGGGTGGAGCAGGGATGCGTGGAATCCAGGGGTGGACTCCCCCTTAGCCTAGTGGCAACCTCCCTGGACTGTGTCCCAGCCGTCGAGGAGGTGGCGACCCTAGAAGGCCCAGTGAACATCCGAGTGATAATCCAGGCCAGGCCGGGAAGACTCGCAGCAGGCTTCCGGGACCTCAGGTTGCACTCGGTGTACCCTGCTAAGCACAACGCGGGGATCAATCAGAGGCCAGGCGGCAACCCTAGCGGGCCCCGTTGGCCCACCCAGGGCAAAACCCTCCCCTGCATTCCAGTTGGCTAGGTGCCAGTGCGCCGCCCGCGCGCTAGCGTTTCCACCCGGCACCACGGAGGGAGACTTTTTGGCGCGGCACGGCGGCGGGGGCGTGGACACCGCATGCCGCCGTAAAGCCAGACAGAGGAATCGTTACATCGTGCGTCAAAGTCGGAGGGGACGCGCCATAAATTCGGAACCAAATTTTGTCCCTTTCACCACGCAGGCAGGGCGGCGGGCGGACTGGCAGGCAGGCATGCAGGCGGGCCCGTGAGAGGAAAAGAAGAACAATCTCCTAATGGAGGCGAGAGGGCGACACATCCCACCCCGGCCGCAGGGCAAGGGGCAACCCTAGCGGCAACCCTAGAGGCAAGCCTAGGGGGTTAGCCTGGAGGCAACCTGGCGGTGGCAACTAGGCCGCGGCGGTGCGTCTGCCGACAACAAGGAGGCCCGCAAGCACGCCGCTCCGCGCACCCCAATTTGGAGCCAATTTGCGGCATGCGATGCGTTGGATGCGCGCTAAAGCCACGCCCCGCCACGCCCCCACAAAGCTCTGTGAAGCTCTGCCTGCTGTGCTGATGAGGGAGCCGCGAGAAACTAGAACCCCGTCGCGATTTTTAAGATTAACATTTACCACAAGAGTCTGAACCAACGAGGAAATGCCGTTCGAACGAGGAGTCGATGATTGGTACCGACCTATGCGATTCGAGTTCGATTATTTGAGGACTAGAGAGCTCGAATCGTGTACGGGTCCACTGTGCGTCGGTCTGCCGACTGCTTTTCATTGAAATGCCGCACGCACTGGCGAGGCGGACACACTGCTATGACTTCGGCTGCTGTTCAGCCGCTGCTTCAGCACTTGTTCACCACCAGCGGCGGTTGTTCAGAAAGTGGTTCGCGAGAAAGTGGAAGGGAAGGGGGTGGGGCCTCGGTGTCAGCCGCGGAGCGGAAAACTTTGGCAAGAAGGGCGCGGGCGAGGCAAAGCGCTCGGCCAGAAGTGAGGCCGCTAAAATCTGGCTCCAGCTAGAGGCTGCCTTGCGGCTGCCTGGCGGGTACCGAGCCCATGCTGCCTGGCGGGTACCGAGCCCATGCTGCCTGGCGGGTACCGAGCCCATGCTGCCAGGCGGGTACCGAGCCCATGCTGCCAGGCGGGTACCGAGCCCACACTGCGAGAAAAGATCACGGTAAATCCTGTACTGATTACTCCAGACTTCACCGTACTTTTTTTAACAGGCAATACCGTCGTTTTTTTACAGGCAATACCGTACTTATTTTACAGGCAACGCCGTACTTTTTTTACAGGGAATCCCGTACTTTTTTACCCGGCAATCCCGTACTTTTGATACCTATCAAAAACTGCTATAATGTTTTTCAGTCGGTCGACCCTCGTTTTCAAGATCCTGATGTACGTAACTGCTGAAGTCGGACTCCTGGACCCCCCTTCCGACCACTCGTTGAAAAGGTCTTGACGAGACCTATCGAAAGGTGCAATAAAATTTTTCAGTCGGTCGACCCCCTTTTTTCAAAATCCTGATGTGGACAATTCTTGGGAGCGGCCTTTGTTGTGACCAGATCTAGTCCTTCCTACGGCATGGTCTGTACGAAAGAACGGTAACTTCTGTTAAAAAACTACGGAATATTTTGTAAAACAAGTTCGGTAAATACTGTAGACTGTACGGTGGATACTGGTTTTTGAAGTACGGTAAAGTTTGGCAAAAAAATTATCCAGGATTTACCGTCATTTTTTCTCAGAGTGCATGCTGCCTGGCGGGTACCGAGCCCTTGCTGCCTGGCGGCGCGGCCGCGGGCTGCCCGGACGCCCGACGACGCGGTCCCCAAAAAGCGTAGGCGTCGCCCCAGCCCATCACGAATTCACGAGGCTCCATTATTAATTGCCGATACTCACTAGCCCTTTCGCTTTTGCCGGCAGGGCGTCCGGGCTCAGGCTGCCGCCAGGGCGCTGGGAAATCACTCCAGCATCCAGCGTAGCTCCGGCGGCGCCGGGATCAGGCGGCGGTTCGTTGGCTCCGCGCGGCTTACAATGAACGCAACTTCCCCCCCGTTCGTTCCCCGCGGCTCTTTGTCCGCAGATTGAGTACTATTTGCAGAGATTGGCGGTGTCCTTCCGATTCGCCCCGCTCGTGTTTTTCTCGCCCCCCCCCCTCCCTCGCGCCGTCACTGCAGAGAGGGCGCGGCCCCCGCTGTTGGGTTGAATCGCGAATTGGCACCGCGCGAAAAAGACAAATGGCAGGCGATGCTGGCGATACGCGCCGCCAGAGCCGGGCCGAGCCGGGCCGAGCCGGGCGGAGCGGACCCGGGGAAAAGGGACAAATCGATGCTTTCAGCGAGTCACCACTGCAGGCCAGGGGTGCGTCCGAGCCACACCACCGGCCCTTTAGTGCAGCAGAGACAAGAGCAGGACCTGGCGGGCTCGCGGGACGCAGCCCGGGCCAGTGGGTCAGGCGCGCCAACGCCCCGACGTTCGCGAACCACATGACAACCGTACTTTTGTCTGTACGTTTTTCGCCTTTATTTTTGGCCAACGCAGCGAGGACCGCCGTGCGCGGCCCGGAGGCGGAGCTGCCGTAGCCCTCCCGGCGGCGGCCCGTATGCGGCATGAAAAATAAAGACCAACTCCCCGCGGAGTTAGTGTCGCTTCCCCGCTGTCGGCCGTCGCGCCCGGAGGAGAGGAGAGGAGAGCTCGCCGGAGGCACTGAGCCGCGCGGTTTATCTCGACACAAACAGAAACAAAAACTTGATACACGCGGACGCGTGCGTGTCTGCTGGAGCAGGGTGGGGTTCCCCTCCCTTCCGCCGGCGGCGCGGGGCCGGCGCGCCGAGGGACGGCAGAAGGGCGCAGAAAGCGTTATTGGTTTGGCCGACTTGAGTCACCACGGCTTGCCCGCTTGCCCGCCCGGCCGCCCGGACGGGGCGGGGCGGGGCTCTCAATTTTCCGCAGATTTAGCCCCGGTGGGGGGAGGTGCCCGGAGGTGCCCGGAGGTGCCCGGAGGTGCCGCGAGCTCCGGGCGGCGCGGCGCCAGCGGACGCATTCCGAGCGCGAAGCCTCTCTCTCTCTCTCTCTCTCTCTCTCTCTCTCTCTCTCTCTCTCTCTCTCTCTCTCTCTCTCTCGCACCAGTGGGGCCACCCGAACGCGGGGCGAGAGAGACAAAAGATCGGCCCGCTGGGGTTGTCGTCTCGGCATCTCCCTTGCTAATTTGGACTCGGGGCGCCAAGCAAGCGACGCCAGGCAACGCCAGTCTGGCTGCACCGCGGCAGTGGCTCCACCGCAGTGGCACCACGCCGGCGGGGGGCGCGACGTGCTTCAAGAGCGAGGCACTCGGCGGGGCGGGGCGGGGCGGGGCGCCCTCCAAAAGTAGCGCCCTACCTGCGGCCCCTCGGCGCGCCTGGGCTCCGTTTTTGCGTTGGTGACGAGGACGCCGCCGCGTGGGGGCAAGCGGTGCGGAGTCCGAGTCCGACAGAGCTGTCCGACAGCCCTCTTCGGACGCAAAATTACCCGGTACCCGCGCCACTGCTGCGAAATCCGCACCCCGCAGAGCGGGTCGCTCAAAAGAAGGGAAAAAATCATGTACGGCGGGGGATGAAGACGGCGAGATTGCAAGGCTTGGGGCTGGAAAAAAGTTTTGGCCGCCCCAGAAGTTGGGGTTCATACCGAATCAGGTCACGGAACTGCGCGGGGCGGGGCGAGGCGGGGTGGGGCGGGGCGGGGCCTCCTGTAAGGCCGTGTCCCCACCACACCACATGTCAGACGCCGCGCAGGATTAGGCGCTCTATTGATTTCAAAGTGGCCAGGAAAGAAAAGAAGGTGGTCCAGACAGTTATGTGATTGCTGCAGGTCCTTGGGCCGCTGGCTGTGCTGGTCCGCCCTCGCTGTCTGCTGTCCAGGAACGGAGAGTGAAACGGGGACGGGGCGACCTGGCAGGCAGGCAGGCAGGCGTAAGGCGGCTGGCTGGCTGGCAGAGACAGGCAGGCAGGCAGGCAGGCAGGCAGGCAGGCAGGCAGGCAGGCAGGCAGGCAGGCAGGCAGGCAGGCAGGCAGGCAGGTTCGATAATGATAATATGGTTTGAGCAGCAGGTGCAGAGGGACGGAATCACGAATGGGGTGGGCCTTCCCTGAGGAGATGAAAGAAAGAAGACTCGGCGGCGCCACGGCCTCGTCGTCCTCCCCGTCCTGCCCACCGCCATCCGTCGCGCCATTCTTCGCCTTTTCCGCATTTCGTAATTGGATTTCTCCTGCGCCCGGCCCATCTCGCCCCAATTAATAATTATCATTGCGATTACCATCACTGCGCACTGCTGCTGATGAGAAATTCATCGGGCGCGAGCGAGTCCACCGTGCGCCCTGTCCTGTCCGCCAGCGCGGCCCAGGGCCCAGGGTCGGTTTCAGCGCTCTGCGTCTCTCGCAGCGACACGGGACGGCGCACGAGTGCGAGAGAGACGGAGTGACGGAAACGGCCCCCGGGACCGGGGCGGCTGCAGACGGGCAGTCAGGCGGTCGGCGGAGCTGGGAAACGAGACGCCGCCCCCGCCGCCGCGCTGCAAACCTCTAAACTCGGCAAACAGTTGATGACGTCGATTCGATTGAGTTCCGGCGGCGCTCAGGCGAGACGCGAGACGCCGAGCGCGGAGCGCGGCACGCGGGAAGGGGGCCTTTGCGACTCATATTTTCCCGTTGCTGCAATCAGGGGGAAAGCTTGAGACTCCGCCGACGGCGCGGGGCGGGGCGGGGCGGGGCGATCTGGGGTGGGGTGGGGCGGGGTGGCTCGGCCGTCGAGCCAAGACGGCTGAGACGAGGCAAAGAAGTCTTATTGAAAAGAGCTCGCGACGAGACGAGGCCACAGCGACGACGAGGACGACGTCGACGACGTCGCGCTGCGTCAGGTCCGGTAAACTTTTTTTGTGCGCCAGTCAATTTGGCCCACTTTGTCCTACATTGTGCGCTGCTCCTCCCCGACGAGGACCGCGGCCTGGCTGGCTGCCTGCCTGTCTGTCTGCTTCCTCGCACTGCAAGCTGCAAACCGCCGTAAAGTCCGCTACGCCAGGGCCTCGGCCAAGGCCGTGCTTTTGCCTTTACGGCGTGCACACTGTATGGACCATTCCGCATTGCTTCTCGGAACGTCTTCTCTTCACCGAGACGGCAGGGCGGCGGCAGGCCAGCCAGCCAGGCCCCGGCGGACCCACTGGTGTTTTTCAGCGCACCGCGCGCCTTTTTTTACTTTTTATGTACGACGCGCAAGTCACGGAGAGGTGGAGGGCCTCCAGGAGAGCGAATGGTCAGGCAGCGCCCGGCGAGCCTGCAGCGCCGCGGGGACCTCCTGCTTTTGTTGCTTCCGCTGTTGTTTGTTTTGAGAGGTCGAAGCACTATTGACGTAGCCGTCGTATATTCACGTCCCTCCCGCGCTCTCGCTCCTTCTCTGGAGGAAAGACACACTTTTCCCAGCGGTCCTTGAACCTCTTTCAGCCTCAAGTGGAGCTTCGTTCTTCGGTCGGTCCGCAGCCATTTGCTGGATTCCCGGATTCCAGCCGCGCGCCGTGCCGCGCCGCGCCGAGCCTCCGGGACCGCGACGCTCCCTCCCCCTCCCCCACTTATGGACAGCCATTCACAAGTTCCGCGGGGCTCCTTTTTATGTCCGAGCAGTCCTTGTGGCCGCCACCACGGCCACCGCGGCCACCGCGGCCACCGCGGCCACCACGGCAAACACGCCCACCGCAGCCACCACGCACCCCGCGGCCTCGCCGTGTCACAGCGCGCCGATCGCCGCCGAAAGCAATTATAGCGGAACGAAAAGGCGGACAGGAAAACTCCGGTTTGTTGTCAATTCCGCGCGACGTGACGTGGGATTGCCATCGACCCCGATAAGGCGGCGCTGCGCGGCGCTGCGCGGCGCTGCGTGCTGCGCGGGGGAACAACGGCCGCCTCGCCGCCACGGCCCTCCGCCGCTGCACGCCGCCACTGCCAAACAAAATTCCGCCTCGAATCACGATGAATTTGCATGCCGGCGGACTCCCCGTCGGACTCCTCGGCAGCTCGCGGGGACGGCCACGACGGTCACGACGACGACGTCGACCCTCCCCGCGGCGGCACGGCGCGTCTTGGCGCTTCGGCCTGTCAAATCAATTTGTCCGACGAGTAAATACCGCCCCGGGCGCGGACAGCATTACCCGCCCGCCTTAACCGCCCCGTGGTGGGGGAGGTCCTCGCTCTGCTGTGCTGCCCGGGCCCAAAGAGGGGCCCGTGGCGTATAAACGCCCGGATGGAAATGCGTTGTCTTTAGATGAGAGAAGGGGGCGTCACCGATTTGACATTCGGCGTCGACCTGGCGCTCGGTCGCCTTCTGCCTTCAGCCTGCACCTCTTCGTCCCTGGCAGTCCCTGGCAGTTCCCGGCCGATCGAATGATGGAAACGGAATAAGGAATAAAAAGGAAGGAGGCCGCCGTCGTCGCCTCTTTCTGTTGGTTCGACTCCTCTGCGGCGCCGGGAAGCCGGGATGTTTGTTTTCGCTCTGCGCCGCTCTGCGTCGCTCTGCGCCAATCAACGATCCTCACGTTCGCCACACGATCCCCGCCAATTCGCATCCCGGAATCGGTTCGCCACACTGGGAAAGGGAAAGAGGAGGGGGAGGGGGCAGGCAGGGGAATTTTAATCAGATGATGTATACCAACGCATCAGCCTGACTCTGACTCTCTGACTGCGGACTTCAGCCCCTGCCATCTTTCGACGACACTACGTGAAAGTTGGCTGTGTGTAAAGTCATGCGCTTTTACGCGGACCTCCGGGGAAAATCCTGTTAGAGAATCAGCTTGAACTGCCGCCTCCGTTTCCGTGCACAGTGTCAATCCCAACGCGGCGTGTACATTTTCTGTGCGGAGAGTGCGCCAAGCTGGACAAAAGTTGGGTTTGTTTGCGGAGGGCCAGGAGGGGCGGGGAGGACGGGCGGACAGATGGACGGGGCCCGTGAAAAGAGAACGAGGGGGGTGTAAACAGGTCGGAGGGGAAATATTTTCAAAAGTTTTGCCTCGGCATTTGGGGGGGCGAGAGCTTGGCTCACGCTCTTGAGGCATCCCAACGACCTCCTCCCCCCTCCCCCCCCCTCCCCTCCGCCACTCACAATGACTCTGCGGCCTGCAAGAACGGCACGCTGCTTGCGTCCCTCCAGTGCCTCCACCTCGCTCCGCTTTGCCGCCTGCCAGGCGCGTGCTGCGCGTGCTGCCGACAGGTCGGCCGCGAACACGCCCGCAGCCCCGCGGCCCCGCGGCCCCGCAGCGCGGCGGTGTGAGGCGGCGGCACGGCGGCGAGGCAGCGGCACGGCGCGGCACGGCCGCCACGGCCAACTTTTTTGCCGAGTGCCAAACTTGACGCGCGGCGAGAGCACTCTCCAAAAAGAAGCGGTAAACAGAACGGGAAAGCGAACCGTAATTGGATTAAGACAAGGCCTGTGCGTGTTTTATGACGGCGCTGCGTGCGGCCGGCGCGCGGATTCCGCAGACGCGCGTCGTCGCTCTGTCTCTGTCGCACTCGTGGGCCGTCCCGTGGGGCTGCGAGAGAGACAGAATGGCCGTGCCGCGTTCCCAATTATTCGCCGGATCACGTCGCACGCCATTTCACGTGGCGGTCCGGAAGGGGGGGGGGGAGGTGTGGTCCGGAGGGGTGCGGCGGGGCGGGGCGGGGCGCCTTGAAAACTGCGAGAATTTATGAGAGTTGTTCTGGGCCTTGCAGTGACACGACCCGCCCGCCCCCTGACCCTTCCCCCTCCCCCCCCTCCACCCACGCAATCTGCTTCTCGCAGCCCGCACCTACACTTTCAGCCCCTCGCGCAACCCTTCATCTCCATGAGCGAACCGATCCGACCGGGTTCGCTTGCTTCACTTACCATTTACGGCCCTCGTGCCGACTTCCGCGTTCTGGCCAGCGGGATTTCCTGGTTCCTGCCCCGCCCCGCCCCGCCCCGTTTGCAGAGCGGCTAGACGGATCCGTGCAGCGGCAGTCGTTGGGCGGTATGGTACTCCCTGGTATTGCCGCGCGCGAACCCTCGGGCTGATTATTCCGAACGGTGTGCTCTCCGTGGCCGCCGCCGTCTCTCTCGCTCTCGCGGGGCGTGCGGCAGCGGGGCGAGAGAGACGGCGCCGTAACCCAGTTATGGAAATGCCAGGGCTGCAGGCTGCAGGGGCTGACAGTGTCGGACAGTGTCGACGCGACGGTGCCGACAGGGAGAAGGAGGACGCCGCGCTTCGCGCTTCGCCATGTTCGCGCGCCGAGCGATGATAGTTCGGCCGACTGCCGCCGTGGCGCTGTCTGTCGCCGAGCCGCCGCAGGACAGACGCGGACACGGCGCGGCGGCACTCGGGGGGCACTCGCCAGGAAGAGACTTTGTTTCGTTAAGTCGAGTTCAGTTAGAGGATTCCCCTTGCAGCCGCCATCACTGATGAATAGACGGCGCATCAGAAGGGGAGCGCGAAAGCGAGAGACAGAGAGCGTGAGAGAGGGAGCGAGAGAGAGAGAGAGAGAGAGAGAGAGAGAGAGAGAGAGAGAGAGAGAGAGAGAGAGAGAGAGAGGGAGAGAGATATACAGAGAGGGAGAGCGGTAGAGAGCCGGTCAAAAGGATCCCGGTGTGGCAGAAAAAGAGGAAAAATCGAAGAGGGGACGGGGAGACTGTTTGGAGTGGTTTACAGCCCGAACTGCGCATCGCTACACGACCCAGTTCTCTTTCGTCTTCACCCAGCCGTGCCATCACATGCACAGCGTTCAGGACGGAAAAAATAAAAGATTAGAACAGTGTAGCAGCACTTTGATGCGTGGCCATTGCAGTCTGCGCTCATCGCGCACAGCGTCCGAATTCTACGGAGCGAGTCGGAATCAGCGGCTGTCTGTGAATGTCCGTCATGTCCGTGTTGTGTGTGAGTGGGTGGGCGTCTGTGTGTGTGTGTGGGGGGGGGGGCGTGGAGGCGAAAGTAGATAGAGAGATCATCTAATACAGCAAATCTGCGCTCTTGTTCCCGCTTCGTGCGCGGGGGGCCGCGGTTCGAATACTGCCTGCCGGCGCACAATTTTTTCACCCTTGCTCCGACCCCGTCACGTCTTGCTCATCGCCACAGCACGGCCGTGCCGGACCTCACGGACCTCACCAGCTTGCTGCGCACGTTCCTCCCCATCCCACCCCAGCCACCCCGACCGCCCCGACCGAGCAGGCAGCCCAGCAGGGCCCAGCCAGGCTCCAGATTAACAGCTTCACCAGGAAAACTTCTCCTCTGCGGGGGCCGGGCTTTGATTGTCGGCAGCTCGTCTGGCCGGCTCTCCTGTATCGCGGCCCGCCACTCAGCCAGCTGCAGGCCGTCAGCCAGACCCGGCTCCACCAATCAGGAGTCTCAGCGGCGGTCGAACGGCGAGCGCCTGCCACGGACAGGCTGGGCAACCCGCTCCGCTGCCGAGCGCGCCGGGCGGGTCTGGCAGCCTCGGCGCTAGCCCGTAATGCTAATGGTAATAGACGCCGAGGTTACCCGGCGCGCAGCCGCCGGCCGCCGCCGACACACTGTGAGCGGGAAGCTGGAAGGCAGTGCGGCAGCGCGCTCCGTATGAGAAATCGCGCCGAAAAGCACGTCCGCCAGTCCGGCCGTGCGGCCGTCCGGTGCTGGGCGGGGCGGGCTGGGCGAAATTACCGCGCGCTCCATTCCATTCGGGACGACATATTATATCCACCATCCCGCACACCGCCACGCCGCGTCCCGCCGCGCGGCGCAGTGTTCCGCAACGCATTTCTCACAAGGGAAAGAATGAACTTTCCCGGAAGGGGTGGGGGCGGGACGGACGTGCGGGGTGGGGGATGGGCGAGAGAGAGGGACTGAGAGAGAGCTTATCTGAGTCGTTGATCGCGGAGGCTGCCGCGTAATAGCGGCAGTGGATGCCGCACGAGAGGGGCAGGCTCGGCAGGCTGCTTCAGCTCGCCCGGTCGGTCGGTGTTACACGAACGCCCTGCCCTGCCGTCCGACTGGGACTTAGGCTCAAGTCCCAGCGCCCTATCCATTCACTCGCCCCCGCCACTCCGACCGTCCGTCCGTTCCGTCCAGTCCGCCGCCGCTGCAGGTGCGAGTTTACAACGCGGTGAGAAATGACGCTTGTAAATCGTGTTTGCGGCAGCGCGGCAGCAGGGCTGTCGGGGCGCGACCCCCGCGACCCCCGCGACCCCCGCGACCCCCCGCGAGGCTAGGCCTTGGCATAACGCTCGGCCCGCTGCAGGACGCAGACCCGCCCAGCCAGAGACAAGGCTTCTCTCTTTTATTAAAATGTTTCTTTTTTCCCGCGACGCGGACAGTCCGATGACGGGGATGAAATGAATAATTGGAAACGAAAACACTGCGCAAGGGGGAAATCGAATGCGCGGCGGCGCGGTGCGGGGCAGTGCGCGGAATGAGGGATGTGAGACCGCTTTGTGGCATTCCGGCGTAATCCCGCTAAACCATTCCGACATTCCCCTCGGCGGCCGGTTAGCGGTCAGTGGGTCAGGCGGGGAGGTTAACCTGCCTTCCTGGGGGAGGGAAAGAGGGGTGGGGGTGGGGGGAAGCGTGGAGGCGAGGCGCCTGGGCGGCCGCGCAGCATTAATCACAGCTAATGAATGCCCCGGGCGGCGTGGGTCGCGGGGCGTCGTAGGGCTGCGTCTTGGTGGAGGTGCGGCGCGGCGGGACGCTTCACGACGGCCTGGACCGAGAGCGCGGCGCGGCACGGCGTGGCACAGCGACCTACTTCCCACTCGCAAACAAAAACACGCGCAGCAACAACAGCCGCCGGGCCGCCGCGGCCGCCGAGGAGGCACGCCCCGCGTCGGCTGTTTGCGTTCCGGGAAAGTCGCGGGGCGGGGCGGGGCGGGGCGGGGCAAGCGACCCGCGGCGGGCTATCGAAAGCGAGCTCGGCGTGAATCCAATTTGCAGATCGGAAAGGGGTGAAGCGCGACGCCATGGAGAGTCGCGGCCGCGGTGTGGTGCGCGGTGCTGCGCGCTTCCAGTGTCGCGGACGGGCCGAGGGATGAGGCTGTCCTGCAGCGGGGCCGAGCAGCGCGACTGACGGCCACCCCGAGGGCGCACCCAGCCAGATGACCGCCCTGTCGGCACCAGCGAGCGCCAGCAAGGGCGCCAGCGCCATCCGCCATCCGTTCCGGGCCGCAGGGGCGGGGGAGGGGGGAGCCCCTCCGGAAAGCGGGGGGAAACGGAGTAGTCGACGTAGTAATTGAATGGCAGCGAGAGGGGAGGGGGTGGGGGAGGGGGCATCCTTGCGGCTGGCAGAGCTCCTCAGTAGCAACCCAACCCCAAGAGCGACCCAAACGGCTTGATAACGTAATAACGAACCTGGCCAGAGGGCAGCCGCGCGACCTGCTGCCGCTAAACTCTCACCTGCAAGCAAACAAGAAACACAGCGTCAGAATCCAGGTGGCGCACAGTGGACCTGCCGAGGACGGGATCTGCCGCCAAGGACGCCGCCTCGGAGTGCGCCGGGGGCGTCGGGCCTGGTCTTGGAGGGTGCCGGGGCCTTGGCCGGGGCACCGCGACGCGACGCCACAGGCCGACGCCGTCTGCTCTGCGGACCCCGCCCCGGCCGCCCCCTTGCAGCGAGGCTATACTGCTGTCGTTCACACCTCTCTTTATCACGGCGGGCCCCGCCTCGGGCCACGCGGGCTCCAAACGCCCCTCCCCCTCGCTGGGAGGGAAGGGCAGGGAACCCTCAAGAAAACTGTCGAGGACAATGCGCACTCTCGACTTGACCCTTTCCCGGGGCTCAGGCTGCGCCGCTGCCGCCTCGCCCCGTGTGATCCCCTCCGGCTCGCGTTAAGCCGCCGAGTGCTTTCGTATTGGACTCTTACTCCCTCCCGTTCTCCTCCAGGCCCCAGGTACGCCGAAGGGGGCCGAGGCCTATATGGGGCTCCACGGCAAACACCGACCCCCCCCCCCCCCGGCCTGTTGGACTGTTCTGCTGCCCCCCTCCCCTCTCCCGGTCCGGGGGTTGGCATTCAATGACCCATGAATACCACTTTAGCCGCCGTGACTCCGGCGAGCGCCGCAGCAGCGCCATCTGACGG